AATTTTATCGTCTTAAGATATTAATAAATTCCTCCTAAAATAAACTTTTAATTACGAAACTATCAAATTAAAATGACCTTGGTCCGCCTATTTTGTTAAGACTTGGTATAGCTGTATTTTTAGTTTTGATAAATGTAGTATTTATTTAATATTAGTATCTTTTTAGTGAATACGTTCTTATCTGAAAAAAAGTATTCGCCTATTCTATCTAATCTTCGTAGTTATATCAAATTAATTAATCTTTATGGAAGGTATTGGTTGAGATAAAAAAGTCAGTGCCACGAGCAGGATTCGAACCCACGACCTTTGGCTAAATACGCCGCTGCTGTATGTGATATCATACATGATCATCTATGATAAGCGGCGTATTTAGCCGAAGGTCGTGGGTTCGAATTCCGCTCGTGGCACTGACTTTTTTATCTCAATCAATACCTTACATAAAGATTAATTCATTAAAAGATGTTATTTGGTCAATCGGACCACGAAATCTAATGAAGAATATCTAATGTAACTTATTTTTAATTGTTAATTATTTTAATTTTTGTTTGGCGTTTTAAAGAAAATAAACTAATTATAAAATTGTAAAATTATCTAGAGCTACCAAAAGGATTTTTGTTTTGTTTTTTATTGTGTCGAAAAAGAAAATAAATAACAATTACTATTAAGTCTTTGTTTGATCCAAGCTCTTTGTGGTAATAGCCAATTAAGGGCAGTTAGGTCTTTGTTTGTGGCGTTTTCTTTATATTGTCCGTTTGTTATTTGAGCTTTGCTGTAATTCAATCCTTGTAACTGTGTAAATTATGCACGTGATTTTGTATTTATTTACTTATAGAATTTTCATCTATTGCGCCTGAAGCATTTTGTCGGCGAAAATCTTTCAAATAAATTTCCTAGAACCATTGGAAACTTATGGTAAGTAGGCAAAATAGACATTGGAATTCGAGAATTTAATGTAAAAAATGGTACTTAATACAAATCTAAGATAAACATCCAGCAAGGAAACTTTTTCCCATTGTCTATTCCAAGAATATAATAATAATTAACTTAATAATAATTTACCAATTACTTTAGTTGTACTTACTATCTTTTGAGGTTCACTCGTGGCTTAAACGTATTTTCTTTATGTCCATTGGGAATTCTTAAAATATATTTTGAATGCATAGTGTTTAGTTTATTTAGTTACCGTTAATTAATGATTATTTAGAGCTCGTGAGATGCGGTCTGGTGTGATATAGGTTTAGAAAGACATTTTCTTTATTTTGGCAACGTTTCGATTTTTATTGAGATCATCTTCAGGGCTTGGAATTTAAAACTTAGTTTAAATTATACAAACTGTAAGATGTGAATATGGATTTATACCACGATGTACACAATACAGAAATTTTAAGTTTAATCAAAGTATTTGTACTCACTCAAAGTGTGTGTTTTTTATGTAGATGTTTCACTGTTATGTGTCGTGTTGGGAGTGTTAGTGAGATATTAATGTTTTTTGTTTATATGTTTGATTTTAAAGCAGTTGAGAAGGAAGGGATAGAAATTCATTTTTCTAAGAGGAGTAGGCTTCTTTGAGGTGAAAGGGACCGACAATGTAAAATAGAGGTAATGTTTTGACATTCGGGCCTGGTTATTCTTACGGGATTATTATAGATGAGATTATTAGGGAAAGGAGAGATAAATTGTTGAAGATTTAGGCTATGTAGAATTGTTTGATGTGTAATAATTGTTTTATAGGTTTTGTGTGTTACATGTCTGTTATCTATATTGAATTTGATTGATGATATAGGCGTAGCTGCGACTGAGTTTACAAGTGTCTGTTCTGTAATTGATAATGTGTTGGTGTAAACCATTTCTAAAAAGTTACGTTTATGTTTGTTTTGTTCTTTGTTTAATAGTTTTGGATTGTTGAAATCGAAATTATGTTGGTATTCAAAGTTGGGGGTCGCGAGTGGTGTAGGATTTTGTTTGGGTTATTTGCATAGATAGATGCACATCCTAGATATGTTGTTTTACCCTCTTATCCATATATTGGGATGTGATTCCGATGTAATTATTGTTTCTGATGTAGATTTCATCAGACTTATTTGTCACTACTGGTTTGGGATCTTTCATTTCGAAAAACAAGGTCTCTCTCTCTCTCTCTCTCTCTCTCTCTCTCTGTCTCTCTCTGTCTCTCTCTCTCTCTCTGTCTCTCTCTGTCTCTCTCTCTGTCTCTCTCTGTCTCTCTCTCTCTCTGTCTCTCTCTCACTCTCTTTCTCTCTGTCTCTCTCTCTGTCTCTCTCTCTCTCTCTCTCTNCCCCCCTCTCTCTCTCTCTCTCTCTCTCTCTCTCCTCTCTCTCCTCTCTCTCTCTCTCTCTCTCTCTCTCTCTCTCTCTCTCTCTCTCTCTCCCCGCACCGACACCAGTAACAAATAAATATGAAGTAATCTGACAAACACAAATTTACTGTATTATGTACATCATTGTATAGAATCCCAGGCTCTGAAGATGATCTCAATAAAGATCGAAACGTTGGCACGATAAAGAAAACGCTTTTCTAAACCTAAATCACACTAGACCGCATCTCACGATGTGTAAATAATATATTTTTAATTTACTCATAAACGTAAAACAGACCAAAAAAAGTATGTTAATAACAGTCTCGAGTCCCCCAATACTTGATTTTTACATTCCTTAGATAGATGAGAATATAGGGTTTTATACATAATCTTAGAATCTTTGTAAATTAAAAGCAGAAATTTAAACGATGTTGTCCGCTTACCCTCGCTTTATATTTTGGCCAATCAGACCATTTAAATAAATAATCCTTAGAATTAATATTTACTTGGAATATTAGACTAGAAGATGTTTAAAACAACAGTTGTTAAAACTTTTTCCGAAATTACCTTCAAATATTTACAAAATTGATGAAATGCCGGCAGTTGAACTGTACGGTTTTATTTAAAAGCTATTCATTCAAAGTTATGGGCTACAAAGCGCTTTAAAATAGATACTCTTTTATAAAAATTTTATATTTAGTTTAATCCTTTTATTTTCCTTCTTTCTCCTAACCGTTTCTTAATATGTAAAAGGCTAGAACTGTTTTTAAAAATTACGGATAAATGAACGCAAATTAATAAAATTGTCCCCGACGCAACTATAAAAAAGTTTTGAAATCTTCGCCTAAAATACTAAAAATTTCCTTTTGATTCCTTCAAAATTACCTTAATATTACCCGCATTGCAATTATTTATGTATACCGGTTGGTTGGAAACGCTCAACACATTAAAGCATAAAGGGGCCAGAGGGACTAGCAATCATGCCTGATGGGCCTTGATGGCTTAGCATCCACGTATTAATGAAGACACTGGTAAAACGTTCAACTTTTGAGGCTAAAAAGTAAAATCGGTGAAATCATACATGATACGAACGTCTTAAACGGTGGCTTTTTTGTTATTCCGTAAATTGGTGGTAATTTTATTCTGTTTTCTCAGCTTCATTGAACAAATAGATACCCTTAAAATAAATATTTTGAACTCAATGTTGTGTTCAATATTTCACAAAGAGGAAGAAATTTCAGTGCGTTTTTTTTTTTAAATATTTATTTGAATGAACTGGTAAATAACAAACGAAAAAGTATTGCTTGAAACAAAAAGTATTTTATATTTATGTGAAACCATCTTTGTATAATATAAATCACACTACTCCTAGTATCTCAATTAGAAACAGTTAATGCCCGGTTGAAAAATGAAATCATCAGAATACACTTCATACAACGTTGTAAGGTTTTTGCAAGCAAATTGACTATTTTTCTACCAGAACAATTTTTTCTTATCAGAATTCTGAAGCACTTAGAGCCAACTTAAACTTAGTAGTTACAAGTATGAGAATCACCAGCAAAAGTTGTTGGTTCGAAGATGATCCTTGGCACGAAAGTTGAAAGATGAAAATTTAAGTGCCTTTAAAACTTTACTACCAAGACTTTGAGGCTTGTTCTAAATTTAATTTAAGACACAAAAGTTGATATAGTTTCTTCATTATTTTATCCGCATTTATTGCATGCTTGACTCTTTAAAGGTATTTCTTTAGAAATAAAATTACTCAATTTGTTTGTAATTGATTTTTAATATGAAAAAATCATAAAATTAATCTCTTTTATGTTGATATAAATTAAAAATTTGTTCTTTCTTTCAAAGAATTATTATCGAAAGCTCATCCTCACAACGATATAAAACAGCATTTTATTCCTGATTGATTCGTGTATATCCTTGTAGTGGACTCAGTGGTTCACATTTGAAAAATAATAAAATGAAATGGAAGTCGAAATGGGGCGGAGGTCAAAGGGCAAAGGCACGAGCTGTACCAAAAGTCCATTCATCCCTTGCTTCTAACCTAGATCAAAGAAGTCATCAATGATGATTCATTTCAGTTATAAACATTATGGGATTTCTAATTAATTGAAAAGTCTGTACGAAAATTATTCGATTCTAGGCTTGGTGTAATTTGTGAAAACATAGTTATTTTTTGCACATTTTTTAGCCCTTAATGGTATATGTAGGTAGTTGGATCTTAACAGTAATATGAATATAATCTTAGTAATTTACAATATTTTAGAAAGACCAAACTGCTTTTGAAACTGCTGTTTAAGCTGGTTTTAAGTCTTTTTTCGGAAACAAAAAAATTGTTCTGGTAGAAAAATAGTCAAATTACTACTTACAAAAAACCTTACAACACTGTATGAACTTTATTCCAATGATTATTAATTATTAATCATTAATAAACTCGAAGTACAATTATCATTTATCTGATTCAATGTATGTAAATATAAATATGCAGCGAATATAGTTTCTAAATCTTTTAAGTCATTTTTTGGATATTAGGACTTTTGCCATCACTCTTGTGATCCTATAGAAATAATTTTGTGTAGATGAGTAAACCAATTGAAGGAACATTCTTATTGTCTTTTAGGGGATACCGTCTTACGCAGCAAGCTTTTTCCAAGGAGCCATCAGGTAGGAACAATAAGTTTTTGCCAAAAATTCAGAGCTCTTTTGAACACTTAAATTCTCGGATGGAGGAACCCTGTTTCTAATCGGACAAAACAGCTCGAGAGGTTTAATAAGTACATTAAAAATTTTAGTTTTTCCAATTCAGTAATACGACCAAAAATCTTCTGGAGATCTCTGAACAATATAATTTGACAGATGAGATAAGAGAATGGAAGAGAATCATTTTATGTGTCCAACAATCTGACCTGAGAGATTCCAGTATGCTCAATGCTGGGAATAGAAGCACAGCCTTTCCCAACAAAATAAGAAGCAGCCTGCAAAAATCTCCTAAAAGAGGTGTATACCTATAAGAAAAATATTCATAATTTGTATAACGACAGACAAATAATTCTCAGCACTGAAAATACAGTTAATTAATTGCCTAAAAACCACCCACAATTTTATTGATAAAACAATTAATTTGCTTTTGCTTCATTTCCTTTACTAATCCTTTACTTGAAAATCCATTAATCTAGATGTTTTCAAGATTTCAGATTACACGAAATTGTATTATGTTACTAGTTAAAAATTTCTAAATTGATCCTCTGCTGTTAAAATTATTGTTTAAGTCAAATATTCGATCTATGTTCTGAGACACTACGGATTTAGTTTCTTTGTTAATTTTTTTGCTTTTCAATTTCACAGACTAGATGGAAGGAAAGCCTGGGAATGCGGGAGGAGACGGAAAGAAGAAAGGTTTTGCACCGTTTGCATCCCTCGAAGATTTAAGCGATGAAAGCCCCCCAGATGATAAATGTAGACTCACCCTGCCGGGAATAAAGGAAGACCAGACGCCTGCTGGGTCAGGCTCTGGTCAGAGGCCGAGCATCACTCCTAGGATCGACATTTCCAGAGCGAGCAGCTCCTCCCATCATGACGACAGCAGCCCTGAAAGAGAGCTCTTTGCAGGTGATTTACAAATTATTTTTGAATCATAAAAACTTCAAGGTATATAATAATTTTTTTGTTAGGTGTGGAAGGAGCCAGTGGATCTAAAATCGGGCTCGGTTTTTCTGAAGAAATGGCCATGGAGTTGAGAAGCAGCACTGAGGAATTGGATTTTCAAGACCCTGAAGAAGAGAAAAAAACGAGAAGAAAAAAGTTGCACCATCAACAACAAGCTGTAGGCTTCAAACATGTATTTTTTCTTTCTCTACTATCCTCTTCACTATCAGTTGCAAATTACATAATGATTAATGGTCAATCAATTTTTCAGGTGACTAAATATGATTTGGAAGCGCAAAGTGAGAAAGAGAGCCAAGAAAGAAAAGACTCGGCTTGTAGCGAAGGTGGATTGCTTTTGCTCGGCGGAAGGACAAGTAGGTTATCGTCTATTGGATCGGTAGCCTCTGGAGGATCGGTAGCTTCACATGTATCTGGAGGCTCAGGGGTATCGGGCAACTCTCACCTATCTGCAGCGTCTCGTGTTTCAGGGCAGTCTCATCTTTCTGCAGTTTCTAACTATTCAAAAGCGTCGAGGTGCTCTTCTCCCCATCGCATGCTCCTCGAAACGTCTTTCTGTGGTCCAAAACCAATTCCCACTGTAAGCTTAGAGGCCGAATACCCCCCTAACGAAAGTGTAGAAGCGACGTTGCTCGCCAGAAAAACCGACATCACCGGTGCTGTACTCCCACCTGACGAATCGATCAAAATGCCAGCGAGCAGTACAAATAAAGCTTTTACCGGAAAAGCTACGTTGAATGTTAGAAGTGGATCCAGTAAAAGCGGAAATTTAGAAGTGAGGACAAAACCAAGATCGGCCAGCGAACGGTTGTCAAAACCATCAGGTGGGACCCACTCCGTTCAACCCAGGAGTAGTTCAGCAAGAGCCAATTTAAAACAATCTAGACCGAAGCCAAAGAAAGATGAAGACGCCTTAGTACGTATTATACCTCTCCATGGATCTATCGACGAACCCGAAGACGCGGATCAAAGTGATAAGGAAGAAGAAAAAACCGAGGAAACTGCTGCGGATCCCGACGCTTTCACCCCTGACTACGGCATATACATTCCTCTGAAGGGACCAATTATCGACTACAGCAAAACAGACGAAGCTAAACAAACCAAACCAAAACTTGAATCCACTAAAAGCAATAAACCGGAAATCGAAGAAAGTGATTTGGTTCGCTTTATCTCATTACACGGAGACGACGATGAAGAAATTCAAAGAGAAAAGACTGAAAATGCAAAAAAATATAGCTTTAGAAACGGCCAAAATGTGCAGTTTAAACCTTGGCCGGATGATAGCCATGCCAACGCACAACGGGAAAAACAGGTTCCAAAAAAACCTCGGAGCCCCGAACCCACGAGTAAGTCTAGCAAGCCCACTACTTTAAATATTTCATCAAAAAATGGAAGGCCGGCTCAAAGTATGACACAATTGCCAAGGGAAGAATCTAAAACACCCTCTCCTGCCGCTTCCTTCGCTAGGGGAGTTAATTTGTTCCGAAGAAGTTCTGATTCATACGGTAGTTGTAAAAAATCTACACTAGCGTCAGGCAAGTCCAATTTAGAAGCTCGTGTTGTTTTCATGTTGTAAAGACAAATCACTTAACTGAGCAATGGCACTTGTTTGTGTTAAGCACGGATGTTCATCGTTTGCCTACTTCATTTCCATGAATAAACATATATTTTTTTATCGCAGTCAATACAATTTTTTTATGTGTAACTTTTTATGTTTTAACATTTTATTTTATTAATTTAGTTGTTTCTTTTTTTTAATATATAGTTGTCATAAATGTTTCGGTGTCTAGATATGTCTTATATCATTTCACATTGTCTACCCTTACTTTATTCTACTTCATGAAATGTTATTATTAAAACCTTATTTTATTATTATTTTAAGACAAAAATCTGTAAATACAAATGAGTAAAAAAAATGTATATTGAAACACAATTTAAAAAAAGCATTTTTAAAATGGCCACCTTTGGCTGTGGTTACATTAGTTTCACATTTCCTGTAGACTTCCTGATAAGTTTTTTTTATTTTTTTATTATCCCGAGGAATTTCATACTTTTATGCTACTTTATTTAACAGTTATTTCTAAATTACGTTCCTTAGGTTCGTCAGACAGATTGAAAAAGGATGTGCGCAATAAATCGATGTTCAGCGCGTTTTTCAAAAAGAATGTCAAAGAAATCCCGCCACCCACTCATCAAAAGCGGTCAGCTCATGAGAAAACTTCCATCGATCCAAACATCACAAATGTAGAATTTAAATTCAAACATGAGGTGAGAGACTGACTTGTCTTTTAGCATATCGTTTAAAGTAATTACAAATAAATCACTTTCAGAATGTCGATTCGATAATAATCCCACTGCACTCGCCTGACAGTATTACGGAACCTCTGATGAAGTACGATCCGGAAGCGATCAGCGTTGTCGAGGAAACTGAAGTTAAACCAAAAAAAAATGTACAGAAGGAATATTATGAGCAGAAAAGCCCAAGTGAGTAATACATTTTACCCTAATGATATTGAATTTTATCATACTAGATCAAACTATTTAATTAAATTCAATTAATTAAGATTTTATGTTGAGATAAAAAAAGTCAGTGTCATGAGCGGGATTCGAACCCACGACCTTCGGCTTGAAACGCCGCTACTCTACCACTTGAGCTATCGTGACTTCGATCCCCTCGGGCACTAACTTCCATCTCAACCGCACCTTTTGAGTTTTCCCTCTTTTTTGCCATTTTTCAAATGTCGTATCGAAGTCACGATAGCTCAAGTGGTTGAGTAGCGGCGTATCAAGCTGAAGGTCGTGGGTTCGAATCCCGCTTGTGACACTGACTTTTTTATCTCAACATAAAATCTTAATTAATTGAATGAAATTAATTGGTCAAGTGGACCATGAAAAATAGTGTATTTAATTAAAAATTTAATTAAAAATCCATTGATTAACTACCAGTAATAACATTTGTTTTTGTTTATAGTAATGCCACTGTCAGAAAACCACATTTCAGGAAAAAGTATAGTAATAGTTGATGTGTCTAAAGAAGATAGAAAAGAGATAGTTAAAGATACGCCTGCAGTAGTTGCTATTCCTCAGCCAATCGCTCAAGAAAAAACACATTCTAAAAAAATAGAAAGATTAGAGTTAGAAGATTTAGAATATGAACCGAGGGTTCGAAAATCTATAAGTCATTCTTCTACGAAGGAAATAGAAGAGGAAAAAGTGGTAAAGGTTCAAAAAGAAGAAACCCAAAGTTCAGAAAATATAATAAAACCTTTAGAAAGTGGTGTAATTGTTAAGAAAAAGGAAGAAGTTGAAACTGTCAAAATAGAAAAATTACAAGTAGAAGTTGTTCAAGACCCGATTAGAATAGTTAAAACATCAAAGACCCCGATGGAAAGCCTTGTTATATCACCGAGTGAAGAAAAACCTTTATTGGAAGAAATGATTAGTGACAGATCCCAAGGGGATGAAGTTATTAAAGACGAAACAGAAGAGAGAAGATCTTCTGAGTCAGAAGTTGAACAATTACCAGTAGAAAAACCCAAAGAAGAATGTGATGAAGAAAGGAAAGGACTCTTTTTACAAACCGATTCTGTAGAAGAAGAATTGCCTTATGTACCAACAACACTCCCACAAGAAAGGTAAATTTTAAAAACAAATTAACATTATATTATGAATTAAATAAAATCAATGTGATTTTTAATAGATCAGTGGCAATGCCGATAATACCGATAAGGCAGAGAATGTCAGAAGTCAAGACATGCCCGGTTGAAAGGCCAAGATCAACGACACCGATACAACCCTCCAATTTAGAAGAATATGCTGCAACCCATGATGGTACGAAACCGTCACAAAGTGAAAAGATGCAAATTACTCTTCCAAGGTGAGTCCAGGTATGTTATTTTTGATCCATATATTCGTTTTCTGTCAATGTGTAGTGTTCGCACAATGTCACGCATGACTTGGTAAGTTATAGTTTTGCATAATACCGATAGTAACAACATTCCCGGGAAATTTTAGTTGAAACAATATCTATTTATTTAATAAATAGACCCCCAACTCGCTTGCTTTGTAAAAGATGTCTGCATCACAAAACACGTATCTTGCAACATTCTACGTTGTATTGTTGAGAGCTTTGTAAAAATCTATGTTTGATGTACATGCCATTGTACAACTTTGACCCCCCACTTTCTTCTACCGTCTACTTTTTCAAACTGTCGCATTTAATATCCTAGCCTAGTTAAAAAATGAATGTGTATGGAAATTGTCTGTTTTTCTTCTAGAAGAATCAACCTTTCAACACTGTCGATATTTTTCCAAGCAACCTGGAAACCCTCCCCAAGCATATGAAAAGTAGATGTTTGAAAAATAGTATTAAAAGAATTTATACATATTTAAATTATATTTTTAAAAACAAGTAAAAAATTTTAAAAAATTATATTAGTTTTGGTATCAATCAAATTAATTAAATTATTTATTTAAACATCATTGTAGTTGTTAGTACAATAAAGTAAAAAATTTCTTGTATTTAATGTATTTTAGTAGTTTACCCTGCGAGACGTTATTTAAATTAACATGTTTTTACTTTTGTCAGAACTGACTCTTTAGGAAGATCTAGAAGTCCGGGGAAACCGAAGCCTTGGATGCAATTTGCAGAAGAATGCTTACAAAGCCCAAAAGAGACGCGCAAAGGAAAAACGACAAAATCACCTCCGCCGAACACGCCCCCTCCTCTGCCCCCTAGAAGTTCTGGGCCTTCTTCCCAATGGGTAATGTTTGACGAACAACCGGAGAGAAGGAGAACCCCTAGGAGGATAACCACCCTGCCCTTACGTCAGCAGCAATCTTCTTCTAGTGTTGTATATAGCTATGTTAACCCCGAAGAGTGCAGCTGCGAATGCCACGAATCCCAGGGGAAAGTGATAAGTGCTCAGTGCTTAACTGACTCGGAACAATGCTCTTATAAGAAAGGGAGTAGGACAGAAAAAGAAAAGCGCTATCGAACTTAAAGAAATTAAAAATTTATTAAAAAAACAAAACATCCTTGTTTACAATTGCCTTTATGTCATAGATTCTAGCAAACAAAAAATAAAATAAATGTTGTTGTTTATTAATAATTCAAAATATTTTTATATGTGTTGGTTTTTCTTCCAAAGGAAAAGAGAAAATATGAATCTTAACAATCAGTACAATGTATTATAATCTAGATGTTGGCAACTTTGATTTTTACATTTTTTAATAAAACTAATTTTCTCTAACAGTCAAATAAAATATTCAGCTCTAGAAAAGTTTGAGATTATACTGAAATTTTAAATAATGATCTGAGGATACGAAAGTTTCTTAATCTTGTATTTTACAAGTTTTTATTCAACATCATTTTTCTTCTAGAAGAAAGTCATTTTAACATTAAAAACCCTGTATAATTCAAATTTTTATCGATCCACGCATTAATTCTGTTCATTCCATAAATATAAATGTTACCCATCAAGTGTTTTAATACACGCATTTTGAAATTTTATGAAATAATTATTAAAAAAGAAAAAAAAAGAATTATTGAGAAAAAAGCCCTTTCTTTTTCTCCAAGCATAAATTATCCCGTCTACAGTTCAAATGACCCAGACATTGTTTTATTGTTACAACAACACCCACAGCTAACATCTCTTCAGAACTTAACTGTAAAATATACAGTCCTGCAAATAGATACACTTTTTTTATGAATGTGCCTGAATATTTACACTGTGTTAAGCAATCAACATCTATGTTTTAAAAAAATTTGAGGAAATGCATCCATTGCTTGGAAAAACAATATATATTTTATTATTTTTATTAGCCACTTTGCGGCCATAGCATGGTAACAAATTTAGAAACAATTGTATACATAAATAGATTGTTACGTTGATAGAACCCAACAGCATTGAATAATTAAAAGGAAATGGCACTAAACGTGATAATTTTTCAAAAAACTTTTGTCTTTTCCTTTTGAAACTTGGGCAGTTCATAAACGTGTTGCATTGTCTCCTCGTCCCCGCACTCATCGCATATCGGGCTATCTTGTAGTCAAATTTTATGGGGATATTTTTGACGATATGTACATATGTAGTATATATGATGATAAATACTATGTATTTTGTGGATGGTTCTGCAGTTTTTTTTTTTGTTTTTTTTTGGCAAACTAACTCCTAGATACCATAATGACAGTATTTCCGGGTGAATAAATTTATAAAATTTACCCTTTGGGGTTTCAGAGTACCTAACCTTCCATACATTTCTTTGTAGTTTTTTCTATTTTCAATGAAAGCGTCACAGCCATTTTAAAGTCTATCCTTTGACCCTTCATTGACAGATTGTTTGGCGAGAGTATCGAGGGTAAATTACGCAAATTATAAAGAATGAGCCTTGCGGTAAAGACACTTGAATCAATATTTTGTAACTTTTGAGGTTAATACAGACCTAAAGGAAGTTTTTTATGTAAAACTTCATAATTGCATAAGAAAAATACCACAACGATACAGGAGTGACTCAGCGCTACCATTGTCAATCTTCCTACCATATTCCATAAAATTGTAACCAGAAACCCAAATGCATCAAGTATGCAGGACATCCCAGCAAGGGTTGTAAACAGCAGCTGACGGAAACCCCTAATGCGCAAACTGTTCAGGAGATCATACTGCAAACCATCAGTTTTGAACAGAGGATAATAAATCATCGGCAAAAAGTCAAGGATAAACTGATGATACATCAAAGAAGCTAAACTTCAACACGGAAACAGAAAATTTCCCATTGCTTAGCTAAGCTGATAATTCTGGCCTTCAACGACAACAAACCGCGACTCTCCTCAGCCTGAGGATCCTGGTCAGTCAACCTGCTAAGCACAGCTAATTACCCAAACGTAAGCAGTATATTACAAAAAAATAAGATTATTTGCACAAAAGAAAAAAAAAGATCCACTTGCCAAAATTTCTGTAAGAGCTGATGTGTCATTAGCCAAATGTATATTAACCTTGAATATTTGTAACGTTATGTGCTGCTACTGTCGCTCAATTGTCAAAAAACTGCCTGAATTAGAAAATTGTATACTCACCCATAACATTGAAATCATAGCACTCTCAGAAACATCACACAAAGACAAACACCAGCTAAGATGTGGATACTCACACAGTGATCATGATAGAGATGTATGTAGCCTATTTTAAATTAAATTTAACAACCGTTTTTAATTTTTAAGTGGCTACAGCATAATTTATCTAGCTAGTTGAAAAAGAATTTTATTATGTACCTCCTTACTATGTATGTATATTATGTGTATATGTATGTAAATATATTACATTATCTTTATTACTTTTTGTTCATTCAAACACACAGAAGGTTTGAAATAATTTATACAACTCATAAAAACCTCATTCCACACCTTCTTGTTGTGTCCTTTCTGGAATAAGCAAGGTGTAATTGAACAATTCAGGACGCTTTTCCACCTCCTGTACAAATTTTATGTTTTACTAACCCAAAACACGCAACTCGCTCGATTTTTGCAGTGCACTGTGAGTCGAATTCAAGTTGCAAGCGAGCCGAGAACAATGTCGACCCATGAGAGGTTGCCTGCTTACTTGCACAGGAAGCAGAGTTGGGACAAAAGTTGCATAGAAATTGCATCGAGTGCACGTCAACCCAAGTATAGAGGGCCTAAGGGAATCAAGGAACAGGCTATTCTACATTGGACAACCTGTTCTTTTTAACAGTATCATCGAACAGACCCTCACCAAAAAAAAAAAAGGAAAATATTTCTTTGCGGATCTGTCCAATGCATTCGATGTGATCAATAGACATTCCCTCTTGTATAAATTAGAAAATCTGGGCCTTTCGTATAAAATTATGTAATATGTATGTTATAGAGAGGCAATTTTCACCGTAACATCCTCCCCTCCATTCATGCTAATAAATACATTCACTGGTGCACCTAATAGGTTAAGCGGATCTGTGAATACTTGACATTCCGCACAGACCATGCCCATACACAGTTAATCACTCAAGCCAATAAATAAATTCACACAATCAGTTAAACACTAGGGTTTCTGATATGCCAGTGGCTAACCCCCCCCCCCACTATTACACTGCAAATATGTATATATAAAACTTATAAAACTAGATAATCTAGACGGGTTTGGAGTGTCTGTGCGTTGTGGGTACTTGATACTCGATCACAACACACCCACACTTACTCCAACATCAAGCTAGTTAATTCATTTGCTTAAATAAGGATTTATTTAAACCAATGTATAAAAGAGCTCCCTACATGTGGCCATATGTTTTATATATTATAAATCTGTCCTGTCCCATCAGTCCAAGAGTAATATCTGACAAAAATTTATTTATTTTATAGGTTATAGGTGTTTTTCAGGTTTATTTATAGAGATGTTTATTATTATTAATATTAATTTAATAATAAAAAAGGAGCATCGGTGGCTGCAACGGTTTAGGCATTGACACAGAGCTCATTACTGTAAGGTAAAGGGCCCGGGTTCGAATCCAGTGGCCCTGTACTCGAACCCGAAATACAAAGGGGTTTTTCAAAAATAAGTTCCCTTAGGGTTGATATTACCTCTGCTGTTGCAAACCCTCTTTAAAAGATAATAATAATAAAAACATATTTTTTTAACAGCAAAACACCAATTTTTAGTAATTTCCATTCTGCAGTGTTTACATAATGTTTATGTATAATTTGCCTGGGAATTTTAAAAAATGTATTCTATAAGTTAAATTCTCTCTTAAAAAATTACATTTATCCAAAGAAGATTAGAAGTTTGAATTTTTCGAATGTCCATATATGCGTCGTTTAAACATACAAAGAAAATTTAAATACACTGACAGGCAAAAAATTCCGCCCACTTGTAATATAACTTGATTTGTATATATTTTTATTTATTAACCAAAGTTTCTCGTTTTTTTACCGTTTAATAATTGAGTCTTTGCCTAAAAATTTAAAAAAAAATGTAAATTGCTAAGGAAAATTAAAAATAAAAAAAAATACGGACAAATAAAATTATCCGTCAAAAGCGGTACAGAATATTAATTTATTTGTTTGGAAATTTTTAAATAAGTTATTGTAAAAGTTAATTTCTCTGTAATTCAGTAAAGAAATTTACATTTATAGAAGCTATCTGCCTATACACTCTTTAATTAAATTGTGTAATCGTCAATGACGTAGAATAATATCAATATTTATAATAATTTATCTGGGAAGTTATTGTAGAAGTTAATTCCTCTATAATTCAATATAGAAATTTACTGAAGTCTTGAGGAGCAGTCGAGAATGAGGCAGTTTAGAAAAACACCTTTTCCATTTTTTTGCCGACGTTTCGACCTTTATTCAGGTCATCTTCAGAACATAAACTGCGGTGCTATTCATATGGTGTCATATTGGTTTTTGACCTCTCTGTTCTCTCTTTAATTATATTGCATAATCTTCAAGGACGTAGAATAATACCAATTTTATAATTTCTCTGGCGGTTTTTAAGACGATATTGTAGAAGGTAATTTCTCATCAAAACAGTAAAGAAATTTCCATTTATCAAATACGTCGAAGCAGTCTGATCGTGTCTGGCCATTCTGAATTTTTTTAAATTTCATTCATACATTCACTAAATAAATAACTACCCACTGTTGTTTTCACTTGGAAAACTGATAAATTCGAAACGTATAATAATTTTTTTTCGGCATTTCGAATATTTCATATTTTCCGGGTCCACCTATGAATAATTAGTAATAAAAATGATGCATATGACTCTCCAAGATTAAATGTGGTTTCAAGTAAAAATACTTGGGAATAATACTGGATGGGGGGGTTGGTGGCCGCAACGGTTTAAGCATTGACATGGCGCTCATCACTGTGAGGTAAAGGGCCCAGGTTCGAATCCAGCGGCCCTGCACTTGAACCTGACACTTACAAAGAGGCTTTTCCAAAAATCAGTTCTCTGAGGGTTGATATGACCTCTGCTGTTGCAAACCCTCTTTTAAAAAAATAATAATAATAAAAACATTTTTGTTAAACAACAAAACACCAATGTACCTCCTTCTCATGTCAATTATTATTTCCACCAAAATACTAATTTGTGAAATGGCAAAACAGGTCAATAAGAACAGAAAAAATACAAACATTATTATTTTGGGTTTATTTACAAATACAAGTTAGTTTAACGTATATAACTGTCTAAACAATGAGGAACAAAATTAAAATAGCTTGTAAGTGCAAATTACAACTATATATTACTTTTCATTACTTCACAGCTCTTTTACAACAGATATGTGGGAAGGATAAAGCATTTCATTTCATTACACGTTCTTAATTTGTCAGTAACCAGTTTTGCAAACTCATTTAAATGCATGTTTCAAGCGACTAACATAAAGTAGAAAAAAAATTCTTTAATTAAACACAGCACCATAAAATGTTTTGTGTAGTAAAAATCTGTTTAAGGGCCACTAACATAAACATCACAGAAAAGTATGAATTTATGTTATTTATATATTTTAACCAGTGGAAGAAACTAATTTTCATTAAACTTTAGGGAAAACTTTTAGCTTTCCTTGTATATTATAGCTATAAAAAAGCCGTACATAAACAATGGCAACAGATTTAACCAAATATATAATATTTATTGCCACCATATTAATATCTTTTTTATAATAAATATTTACATTAATATTTTACAAAAACCTGCCAAGTTGATTATAATATTTTGTATATTCTAAATTATAATTATTGAAGAAACTATTTAATGAGAATTATTATTTTTCTCGTATAAAGAAACAATAGCCAATAAAGAATACCTCCAAATTTCACCATCTACTAGCTATTCAGAATCACTTGTTAATCGATTAAAAATCAATCAGTCATGTTTAAATTTAATCCACCTATTACTGAAATCACCCTGCCCTAGTACTGAAAAAGAAAAATTTGACTAGATAACATTGTTAAATTAACATTAACTGCATGTCGTACCATTCACGATTAATACAACTGATTTTTTTACTGGCAAAAAATTAAGGCCTTTTGTGATTCTAAAGCATTTCGTTGATATTTAACAATTATTTTGTACTTATAAATGTATATTACTTGATATTGAGATATATTATTCATTTCAGTTTTATTTATGACTATACTATATTTTATTGATATTTTTCTTTTATATTCCTCTTATAAACATCTCTGTTTATAAATTGAATTAATAAAAACCTGACTTGAGGGGCAATAAAGGACGATTAAAATCAACAAACTGTTCAACTGTTTAAAATAAAAATACCCAATTACATTCACAAGGGGGTGAAAAAATGTCAGGAAGTACCAGGCTATTTACAAAACTAAGTTTCAGAGCGTTTGCCACTCTCGTACTTTTTTACATTTGAACTCTTGTCTTTGAAAAACAAACATGATTCATTATAAGAATTATTGTATAGAAAATATAAGGATATCCATGCGAACAATTGCTCCGTTGCCTAGGATTTCTATATAAATTGACCTAGTGCTATTTGGAAGCGCCTAGGAATTTCAGAGGCTTGTAAGTCTAGAAAATGTATGTATTCACTATCAATGGAAACAAACAAGTCCCAAGAAATTTAGGCTGCCAGAAAATTAATTTTGCTTATTATATATTTAGAAACAACTATAATGTATAATATGTATATATGTATCAGAATGACATTGTAATAATCATGTTAATGCTGTCAATTTTGAAAAATTAACTGGAACACACGCTTTGGATAATTTAAAACAATATAATTTCTACCGTTTTCTATCGTTCATCTAGTTAATCTTTTAGTTTTATATTTAAAAAAAAAATTATGAACAGTGAACTATGAAAAATAGAACATAAACAACTGAGCTTTAACATGACTGTCTTATAGGTTATGTGCTTAAGTGTGTATTGGAATAAGCACATGATATGTACCACCGGCAGTCTGTAAAATAACTTTTTATAATTTTCTGGACAGCCTAATAGCAATCAATTTGAGCTATAATTTTTTACAAAGTTATGACTTTCCTTTGATGAAGTTTTTCCACAATTTCTTTTACTGATTCAGTTAATCCGGATTAATTTAATCAGGTGGTGAGTACCACAAAGAAAGAAAAGAGTAGTCACTACCAATTATTATACTTTGCATTTTTTTAATTTTTTTTGTACTTTTTAAAGAAAACAGTAGTTTTTTTTCATATATATATAAATTTTTTTAAGGCTTACTACATTTTTGTTAGCCATAAACCAATCAATTTTACCATTAACAACAGATATCATTTAACAGATAAAAGTGGTTATTGTATTTTGCGAAACTTTACGATCAATTTTCAAATATATAATTAACAATTAGACTTTGTAAAAAATACAAAAATTAGGCCTAATAAAATAAAATTAAGATGGGGTTACAATTTATCATTCAATGATACAATTAATTTTTAAACACCTGTGATATAACAAAATAATCTATAAGAAATATTTTAGTTGTTCATTTTTTTCCCCTACAAAATGACTATGTTTTAAAAAAATATATTTCATTACATATAAACTTTTTTTTATATGCCCAAATATATTTTTTTACAATAACAATGCTTCAGTCAGTTATGTTATGTTATTGCTAATATTTGATATATTTTCTTTTTTTTCTTTTTTTTTTATATTTTTATATTTTTTTATTTTTCCTGCAGCAAGTCATTAGTGAAATAACCTATTTACAACTAATAAAAATACGTACTTAATTATGAACAAGTGACCCAGTGCTAAAGCTTTTAGCTGTCGAAGTAGAACCAACACACTGAAAGCTGAACTGGGGAAAATAAGGCTGTGTCGGGTCATTTTCCTCAGCTATGCTGTTCAAATAACCTGCGGCATTTTCTGGCGGAGTCAGCTCAACCGACTCTCCAGTGAACTCGGAATCAAAGTAAGACGTGTCTGTTTCGGAAGTGACATGAGGCTTGAACGGAGGCTGGATCTAGAAAAAATTTCAACGGATCCACATTATTTAATTCGATGAGATTATTAATAAAAAAAATATTTTATGTTAGGTTTGTTCCAACACACAATCACAAACCAGTTGCCAACTAATCCGTGATTTATGACTGTGCATGCACGAACATGACTGATCATGGATCATCTGACAGAACGCTTTTTTCCAATCTCGGACTTCTGCCAGAATTTGCCTTTCAAAAACCTTAGATTTAATCAGTCAATTGTCCCTCCCTTTAGCCTCCTTTTACGGACAATTTCAATTTGTGTGATATTTTCATATATTATTTTTGTATTAGAATAACATTTCAAGACTGCTTAAAGTAAATGGTTCAGAGACTGCAGAATTTAAAGAAAGAAACATTTTAATTTTTGATTTTATTTGAAATGATTTATATTTTTCAATTTTCCTATATAAAAAAAGTCTCCTAGAGCCAAACAAATTCTATAAAATAAAAACGCATTTTTTATATATCAATTAATTATGTAAGGATAATCTTATGTATTTTACATCTTGGACTAATAACTATTATATGGAGAAAAATGCAATTACATAATTGGTTGAATATTAATGACTTTTCTTATGGTTTATATATAATTATACAAGGTAATCAGCTCATCATGTAAAAAAAAAAAAAATTGGTGGTAGTACATCTAAAGTGGAGTACAATGCTTTTTTTTTGAGAGAGAGAGAGTTATGAACCCTCGGTGTGCCAGTGTTTTTGGGAAAAAAAAGGCCATTTGTAAATATGTGCGGTTCGAATGATGGATTCAAGCCTGAGGCAGTGATGAGCTCTGTGTCAACACTTAAACCGTTGCGGCCACCGATGTCCCCTTTCGTTCCTGGACTCCTACTTTTGTCCTAAAAATCGCTACTCCACCTTCAAAATAACTGCACAAACATCTTGAAATTCGCGAAATTGTAATTTTGGATCAACTTCTTTAAACCTCCCTTACATTACATTTTTAAAAATGTCAAACTAGCTCAAAAAGATTTTTATTCTGAAGAACAGTTTGTTTCTTTGACAATAAATTACTTTAGAATGTATTTGCTTATACATACATGCATTTAATTCCCAGGATATATCTCAGACATCTTTTCCAAGTTCCACCAGAAATTACCCAAAAAAAATTCTAAATAATCGAGGTTTAGAATAAACTGTTGGAAAGCTCAAAAACCAAGTTGAAGTTTTTAGCTAGTTTGATATTTTTAAAAATGTAATGTAAGGGAGCTGCAGTTTAAAGAAACAGATCCAAAAATTACCATTTCACAAACTTCATGACATTTGTGCAGTTATTTGGTAAGTTATTATTATTAGATTGAAAATGGACTAATTTTAAAAGAAAATTTAGTACTAATCTAAAAATGGGGTCAAAAGTTGGGAAAAGTTATGTTAAAGTAGAGAAAATTCAGGTTTTATTTAAATAAAAGTGTTTTTCTTAAATAAACACTAAACAAAATGTGTGGTGATTAGTGACCGTTAATCGATAATTATTCAGAAATCGTGAGATTCGGTCTGGTGTGATGTAGGTTTCAGACATTTTCTTTATCGTGCCAACATTTCACACACATTACACAGAAGACAAACACTTTGAGCCCTGAAGATGATGTCAATAAAGATAGAAACGTTGGCACGATAAAGAAAATGTTTTTCTGAAACCTACATCACACCAGACCGCATCTCACGATTTCTGAATAATTACTCAACAAAATATTAATTTTTGAATGGAATCACACAAAACCATAAGATTTACAGCTTTCTGCTCCACTTTGGATGTACTGCCACTGAATTTTTTTTTAACAGGATGAGCTGACCACCCTGTATAGGTTTGTATATATTTAAAATGTACATATTTTACATTTATATTTTAATATATTTATATCATTTCATTTTTGTTCCAACTTTATGTACAGTTGTATTTAATACTCATGTAATTGACAATTAATCAAGGTTTTTAGTTGAGATGAAAAAAAGTTAATGGCACGAGAGGGATTCGAACCCACGACCTTCGGCTAGATACGCCGCTGCTCTACCACCTAAGCTATCTTGACCTCGATCCACTCGGACGTCAACTCCCCATCTCAACCCCACCTTTTGAGTTTTCCCTCCTTTTGCCATTTTTCATTTCAATGCCATGATTTAAAAATGAAGTACTTCACTAAAGCTCTCCGTCGCCATTTCAATTGTCGCCACGACATTTGAAAAATGGCAAAAGGAGGGAAAACTCAAAAGGTGGGGTTGAGATTGGGAGTTGATGTCTGAGTGGATCGAGGTCACGATAGCTCAGGTGGTAGAGCAGCGGCGTATCTAGCCGAAGGTCATGGGTTCGAATCCCTCTCGTGCCATTAACTTTTTTTTCATCTCAATTAAAAACCTTAATTAATTGTCATGTATTGATTGGTCAAGTGGACCACGAAATTAGTGAAACCATGTAATTGTTGTTCCTTTGTTATGGCGTATGATATATTTTATATATTTATATTGAGCCATTTTTGTATATTTTATTTTTCTTTGAATAAAAATTTTTCTTTTGTAGAAGTAATATACAAAATATAATTACACTTAAATTACTCCATAATTATTTTTAGAATTTTAGAATAAGCACTAGAAATAGTAGAAAAAGATACATTTTTATTTACAAAAATTTAAAAATGTGTTATTTAAAAGAAATTTGAAAATTAAAGGTTTATTTTCTATTTTATTACCTTGTTATATTCATTCTCCATTTTTACACATTTGTCAACTTATGTTAAATTCTTTTTAAAAATGCTTAACTAAATGTTTGTTTTTTGTTTTTGTTTTTTAACATATTTTGTTTTGTTTTTTTTTACTTGCATATGCAGCAAAATATGTTTAAAAAAAGGTACATATTTTATACTTTATTTTTCATATAAATCCGGTCCCTAGATAAGTAAGAACTTTGCGATTTGACGAGAGCAAAAGAGCTGGGAAACATCTGCGTATGCTCAGACTGCCAGTCCCTAGTCAAATTCTTGAAGAGACAAACCAGTCTTGAAATGGGTTAGCTGACTGACAGTCTGAGTTGGGTTTGTAGCTAAAACTCAACTGCGCATGCGCCCGCGTGTTTTTTGATGGTTTTTCATGCATGATGGAACAAACCTATTAGATCAATCCTTACCCTCTTTTGATCAAGATCAGTCCAGTTTATCGAAGAAAAGAAGGGATGTGCTTTGATGTCTTTGGCATCTTCAGGGCCACCTCCCAATCTCATGTGAGGATTTTTTACAAGGAGTCCAGCCAAAAGGTCTTTAGCTTCACTAGATAACGTTCTGGGGAATTTGACCTAAAATTTTCAATTAATTTTTTCTGTGATCGTATCAAATGGTGAAATTCCCTACCTCTTCCATTATTATAAGAGTAAATAAAACATCATGATCTTTATTGTAAAACGGAAGCCTTCCGACCATCATTTCATACATAACAACGCCGACACCCCACCAGTCTACAGCTCTCCCATAATCGTTGTCTTCAAGGACCTTGAATATATCAATATGATATGACATTTATACTTTTAAATTTTCCTCACAGTTTGTACCTCGGGAGCGAGATATTCAGGGGTTCCACAAAATGTCTTTGTTGTGCTCCCATATTTGATATCTTCTTTACAAAGGCCGAAGTCAGCAATTTTAATATGACCATCTTTGTCTAAAAGGAGATTTTCCAACTAGAAACAAAAAGACAAATCAAAGTCAACCGCTTCACTATAAAGTCAAAACAAAATAATCAATTTTTATACTTTTAGGTCACGATAAATTATTCCATTTGCATGTAAATATCCAAGGGCAGAAATGATTTCTGCACCGTAGAACCGAGTCCTGTCTTCAGAAAATATTCTATCACGTGACAAATGGAAAAATAATTCACCACCATTAACGTACTCCATGACAAAACAGAGGCGGTCAGCAGTTTGGAACGAATATTTCAAAGACTGCAACAATTAGTGATGTACATTTTAAGTTCTTTTATTATAAAACATAATAAAAAAATAAATAAATATAGATAACTGATAACTTACAATTAAAAAAGGGTGATTTGTATTTCGGAGAACCCGATTTTCAGTCAGTGTGTGAGATACTTCATCTTTTTGAATGATGACTTCTTTTTTCAAAATTTTAATAGCATAAAGCCTTCCGGTGGCTTTTTCTCGGCAAAGAATAACTTTCCCAAAAGTTCCTTTTCCGAGTACTTTCAAAAACTCAAAATTTGTGAGCGTCTGGAGAATACAAAAAAAATTAATTTGAATTCAATGTTATAATTAATCACTTTTAACCTAAACTTACAACTTTCTTTTTCCCAGAGCCCTTACTATTCGAGGTCCCTTGTTCAGAAAACTTAACACTCAATTCTTCAACAGTTGGAATAGTTAAATCTTCGAAGCCTCGATCTTGAACTGGGTTGTAACCATCTACTCTCATCTCAACATCAGCAGGTTCGGAAAGTTTGTTCGAAACTCGTTGAATTGCATCTACCCATTCTTCTCTGTGAAAAATTAAAAATACGTCAAAAATTGTCCATAGTATAAATTTCTATCTTTTAAGACATCACCTCTCCCTCTCACTTTCAACATGGAAAGTACGCTCAATGACTGTTGTCCACTGCAGTCCTCTTATAATAAACGTATACGGTTTAGGACGGTCTGCCCTCATCACCTGACTACCCTTGACTGTGAAATTATTAAGAGGATCCGAAGGGATGTCCGGTTTGTTCTTGTAACCCATAAGAGAACCATCGTCTAGTAAAAGGAAATACCTCGATCTCCAGTTTTTAATATGTTCACCTAGAATTTGTTTAATTTTAAATATTAGTCCATTCAAATACAACTAACATAATAAGATTTAAAATATATACCTCTCTTATAGAGCCATCCTTCTTTAACAATATTGGCTGACGATAATGGATTTCCGCAACCGGGCTGTGGAATCAATTCAGCCATTTTTGAGCTAAAACATAAAATAGCAAACCGACTGAACATTTTGAAACAAAAGACATCAAAAGAAAAATTTTAGTTAGGAAACTGGTTATCTTCCGCCTCTACCCTACATAATTTATCAGTTAGAATACTCCAAAACAAATCAATCAGTGTTTAAAGTTATATTTGCCTAACTTTTCTTTTGTATTATACCCAAAAAGGTCTTTGTAGATCATCATTTTAAGAATTTGGCAATTTTGGAACTGAAACATTACATAGCGTCTTATAGTGGTTTTGTACAAAATAGTTTAATTACAAACAAAAGCCTCAGCTTACTTTTAAAATTAGTAGACAGAACCATGCCTCTGGATCACTATTTAATATCTGACATCTTAAATAAAATTCACTTTCTTAAAGGAAATTGTAAAGAGTATAGCCTACTCAGAAATGAGTCTTTTTGGCAATTAATACAGAGAAATGGCTAGACAGTCACTAATGAATGGAAAAAAAAGGGTTAAAAGCTCTGAAAAAGGAGCATTTTATAAAAAAAAAATATTCAACCGAGATCTGGATAGCTCGTTACACAAAAGTTTCATTCCCAAAGTTTTTTGTAAAGCAGTTTGTGATTACAAGCAAACCACACCCTTTGCAACCAATCTCTGTACAAAATAAGGCAAGTGATTCTGAGAGATACACATATGTTCAGAAATAGGCTCTTTGGGCATGCGTGTATAAGTTGTCCTAAACTTTTAAAGGAAAATTCTTTTTGAGAAAATACGTATGCTATTAGAACAACCCAAAGGAACTTGGAAGTTTAAAACAATACTCTATGACTGATTTGTGGACTTTGTTTGTACCGGCTACACAAAACAATAACTGCAGCAATGACAGTTTCACTGTTGTCCATTGCGATTGGTAGTGGTTGAGGATTCACACAGCACTTGGCAAATATGTATTCATTTCCATACAAACTAGAGAGCTGTACAAACCCCAAATGAGTGTATACAATTGAATGTCGAGACGAGTATCTCGAGACTTGGCAAATGTTCGGCGGCAATCGGCAAATACCACCTCAAGAACTACTATGTATGCAAGAATGGGAGAAAAAACAGTTCCTTGGAAATGTGAACGACCTCATTTCAATATGTTGCCAAGTTATTTTAAATTTAAATCAATCTAAATGCCCAATTTGGTCTATTACAAACAAATGCTGATAAAGAAATCCAGGAGAATTGAAAAAGGTAAAATTCAATCGAAAATCAACAATACGAGAGAAAAATAACAGAGATGACTGATCAATTTTGAAACACAAATTCAATATGTTTTCTTGCATTATATGATGGATGATGGTTTGAGCAGAGCACGCCTTATGAATTGTGACGGAATAAACCTATTAGTTAAATCTTTACTCTCTGATGAAGATCAAACCAGTTGATCAGAGAAAAGAAGGCGTGTGCTTCGTTGTCTTTAGCATCTTCCGGGCCAGGAAACAAGGAAGTGATCACATTCTTTGAAATATGAAGACATCATTTCAATGTGTTTTCAAGATATTTTTAATTTAATTCAGCCAGTGTAGAGCTGAAAAAAAGGCGAGATCCAATCGAAAATCAACAATACAAGAGAAAAACAACAGAGTGATAAATTTGGAAACACAAATTCGATAACTTGTTGCATTACATGATGGGTGATTTATTTGGAGATCGTGAGATGCGGTCTGGTATGACAAAGGTTTAGAAAAACATTTTCTGTATTGTGTCAATGTTTTGATCTCAATAAAGATCAAACGTTGGCACGATAAAGAAAATGTTTTTCTAAACCTACTCATACCAGACCACATCTCACGATCTCCAAATAATCATTAATTAACAGTCACTAAACAGCATATATATGACGCATGTTGATTTGACCAGAGCAACTCTGATTAATTGTGATGGAACAAGCCTAACAGATAAATCTTTACTCTCTTTTGATCAAGAACAAACAAATGATCAAAGAAAAGATGGGATATGCTTTGATGTCTTTGGAATCTTCAGGGCCAGAAATCAAGAAAGTGAAATCTCATTCCTTGCCATGTGAAGACCTCATTTGTATGTGTTATCAAGGTATTTAATATATATTTAAATTCAATTCAATTTAAATGCCCAATTTTGTCTATTGTAAACAAACAATGATAAAGAAATTCAGTATCAACCTGAAAAACTTTGAAATTCAATTTAAAAAATCAACAATACGAGAGGAAAACAATGGAGCTCACTGGTAAATTTCAAAACACATTCAATATTATGCTTTCTTTCATTATATGTTGAATTTTGGTTTGAGCAGAGCACACATTGTGAACTTGTGATGGAACAAGCCTACTAGATAAATCTGTACTCTCTTTTGATCGAGAGATTGGCATGCTTCAATGTATTTGGCACCTTCAGGGCCAGAAAACAAGAGAGTGTGATCAGATTCCTTGGAAATGTGAATGACCTCATTTCAAAAAATATCAAGAAATTTAAACGCCTAATTTGGTCTATTGAAAACAAATTTTCTAATTGTTGATAAAGAAATCCAGTGTATACCTGAAAAAATATTCAAATAAAAATGAAATGAAAATAACAGAAATCACCGATACATTTAAAAAAACTCATTTGATATGTTCTCTTGCAGTATGTGACAGATGTATGTTGGTTTGAAAAGAGCATACCTTATGAATGGTACTCAAGAGACCATATGTTTTAAGCAAAACATCAACTTAGAAACAACCTCTCCAGGATGTTGAAACTGATCAGTGAGCAAAATTCTCCAACATCCAGTGCCAAAATCCAAACATCAAACCAATTGGAAAACTCGATTAATATGTAATTATATATATCTGTTATTTTCCTGTAGTTGAGAATTAGGATTACAGAAATATAGTAAGAGCTTAAATGTGGTTTGGTGTCGAACCGGTACAATTTCAAAAAAAGTCAGATTTTGTTCAAATAATAGATCTCGAGTGAAGAAAACAAGATGGTGTGATCACATTATAAACAAATACTAATAAAGAAGTTCACTGTCGACCTGAAAAAAATGTGAAATTCAATTTAAAAAAAAAAAAAAAATCAACAATACGAGAAAAAACCAAAGGAGTTCATTGATAAATTTCAAAATATATTCGATATTATGTTTTTTTTTCATTATACATTGAAAGTTGGTTTGAGCACACATTATGAACTTGTGATGGAACAAATCTATTGGATAAATTTTTATCCTCTTTTGATCAAGATCAGTCCAGTTGATTGAAGAAAAGAAGGGATGTGTGTAAATGTCTTTTGCATCTTCAGGGCAAGAAAACAAGAGTGTGAACACATTCCTTGGAAATGTGAATGACCTCATTTCAAAAAAATATAAAGAAATTTTAATTTAATTTAATTTAAACGCCTAATTTGGCCTATTGAAAACAAATTTGCTAATTGTTGGTAAAGAAATCCAGTGTATACCTGAAAAAATATTCAAATAAAAATGAATTGAAAATAACGGAAATCACCGATACATTCCAAAAAAAAAAAACAATTTGATATGTTCTCTTGCATTATGTAACGTATGTATGTTGGTTCGAAAAGAGCACACCTTATGAATGGTACTCAAGAAACCATATGTTTCAAGCAAAACATCAACTTTAGAAACAACCGCTCCAGGATGTTGAAACAGATCAGTGAGAAAAATTCTCCAGTTAACATCAAATCAGTTGGATTATTCGATTAACATGTAATTATATATATTTGTTATTTTCCTGAAGTTGAGAATTAGGTTTACAAAAATGTAGTAAAAGCTTAAATGTGGTTTGGTGTCGAACTGGTACAATTTCAAAAAAAGTCGGATTTTGTTCAAAAGATAAACAATAACAATAGATGTCAAGTGAAGAATACAAAATGGTATGATCACATTCCTTGAAATGGGAAAACCTCATTTTAACACGTTATCAAGATATTTTTAATTTAATTCAATTTAAATGCCCAATTTGGTCTATTATAAACAAATACTGATAAAGAAATTCACTGTCGACCTGAAAAAAAAAGTGAAATTCAATTTTTTTTTTTAAGTCAACAATACGAAAGGAAAACAACGGAGTTCAGTGATAAATTTCAAAACATATTCGATATTATGTTTTCTTTCATTATACAATGTTTCTTTCTGAATTTCTACCCCCCCCCCTTCAAATTTACCTTAGCTCACGTTTTCGAACATTCAATTGTCATTTTTCAACTGTATTTGAACGTTATTTAAAAACGTTTTTGTAAAATTTGACAAGTTGTAGGTATTTTTTGTAACCTCAGTAAAACGTGCAATCATTTCCAAAATTTTAAATTTTGTAATTTTGGCATGTTCCAACTGATATTGGCTAACATTTTATGTCATTCAGATTATTGCAAAGAAGTATCTTACAGCAAATTTAGCGTTCTTTCGAATGGTGTAATTGGATTTGTTGTAGTCTCAACCTTTTTGAAGTTGTAAGCGTTTTTATGTGGTAAGGTAGTGAAAAGTTGAATAACCTAAATTGACGAATATCTTCAAAATAGAGAACTTTCTGAAAATTTTCCCCTGAGCATTTTTTGCTCCAAACGAAGAGTAGAATCGATTCTCTGAGTTTCGTCAGAAGGAACTGGGACACCCTGTATGTTGAATGTTGGTTTGAGCATTATGAACTTGTGCTGGAACAAATCTATTGGATAAATTTTTATCCTCTTTTGATCAAGATCAGTCCAGTTGATTGAAAGAAAAGAAGGGACGTATGTAGATGTGTTTTGCATCTCCAGGGCCAGAAAACAAGAGAGTGTGAACACATTCCTTGGAAATGTGAATGACCTCATTTCAAATAATATCAAGATTTTTTTAAATTTAATCCAATTTAAATGCCTAATTTGTTCTATTGAAAACAAATTTGGTAATTGTTGATAAAGAATCCAGTGTATACCTGGAAAAATATTCAAGTAAAAATGAAATGAAAATAACGGAAATCACCGATACATTCCAAAAAACCAATTTGATATGCTCTCTTGCATTATGTGACGGATGTATATTGGTTTGAAAAGAGCACACCTTATGAATGGTACTCAAGAAACCATATGTTTCAAGCAAAACATCAACTTTCAAAACAACCGCTCCAGGATGTTGAAACAGATCAGTGAGCAAAATTCTCCAGTTAACATCAAATCAACTGGATTACTCAATTAATATGAAATTATATATATTTGTTATTTTCCTGTAGTTGAGAATTAGGTTTACAGAAATATAGTAAAAGCTTAAAAGTGGTTTGGTGTCGAACCGGTACAATTTCAAAAAAAGTCACATTTTGTTCAAAAGATAAACAATAATAGATCTCGAGTGAAGAAAACAAGATGGTGTGATCACATTCCTTGAAATGGGAAAACCTCATTTCAACGTGTTATCAAGATATTTTTAATTTAATTCAATTTAAATGCCCAATTTGGTCTATTATAAACAAATACTGATAAAGAAATTCACTGTCGACCTGAAAAAAAAATGTGAAATTCAATTTTTTTTTTAAATCAACAATACGAAAGGAAAACAACGGAGTTCATTGATAAATTTCAAAACATATTCGATATTATGTTTTCTTTTATTATATGTTGAATGTTGGTTTGAGCATTATGAACTTGTGATGGAACAAACCTACTAGATAAATCTGTACTCTCTTTTGATCGAGATCAAACAGTTGATTGAAGATTGTCTTTTGCATCTTCAGGGCCAGAAAACAAGAGATTGTGAACACATTCCTTGGAAATGTGAATGACCTCATTTCAAATAATATCATTTTTTTATTTATTTAATCCAATTTAAATGCCTAATTTGTTCTATTGAAAACAAATTTGGTAATTGTTGATAAAGAATCAAGTGTATACCTGGAAAAACATTCAATTAAATTTTTAAAAAATCAACAATATGAGAAGAAAATAACGGAGATCACTGATACATTCCGAAAAGCTAATTCGATGTTTTCTTGCATTATATGATGGATTATATTTGGGTTTGGTGAGAAGAGCACACCTTATGAATGGTACTCAAGAAACCATATGTTTCGAGCAAAACATCAATTTTCGAAACAACCGCTTCAGGATGTTGTAACAGATCAGTGACTAAATTCTCCTGTTAATATCAAATCAATTGGATTATTCGATTAATATGTAATTATATATGTTATTTTACTTTAGTTGAGAATTACGTTTACAAAAATATAGTAAATGCTTGAATGGTTTGATGTCTAATCGGTATGACAATTTCAACAAAAAAGTAGAATTTTGTTCAAAAGATAAACAATAATAGATCTCGTGTGAGGAAAACAAGAGGGTGTAATCACGTTTCTCGGAAATGAGAACACTCATTTCAAGGTGGTTTTGCGTTGTCGGGACACCACGGGCTGCCAGTTTTCTCCAAAACGTACGAAATTGGTTAAAACGCAATAAAAAATATTATACAATGAAAAATAGTTAAAAATTTGTTCGAAAAGGCGACATCGTACAGAATAGGGTAGAATGTGAACGTAGTAAATATTGGTCGAGGCGGACGGGTAAAATAAAATAAAAAGATGGAACATTTGTGTTTATGTTTGTAGCTTGATTTTTAATAATAATAATTAATAATGAAATTGTATTTGAGTAATAAGAAATAATAAATAATCCCTTCTCGGTGAGGTTTCATTTTTTCGGTTTGTATTAAAGGTTAGGTTCGCCCGAGGAGTGTTTATTATTTAGTTGGTGTAATTTGAAAATAACAAAACGAACCTGTTCTAAAATCGGCCTTGGTTCGTAAAATCCTTTCGAGGTAATATTCATAACACGTCCGATGAAATGGCTGCGTCCTCCTCGAAAACGGGCGTCGCAGGGCGGAAAAGGGGAAAAACGCGACCTGGGATAAAAAGAGAGCCGGAGGTGCGGGCTACGGGTTCCCGAGGCATTCCTCACTCCTCACTCCTCAGACCTGAGAGTTGAGACCGACGGCAAAACAAATCGAGATCGACAGAGACGCTCGCCGATTTCAACGCCCCGTTACAAGGACGCCCATTTCAAAACTCAACCTGGCAACCTTTTTCACATTCAATAACATAAAACATAATCCCGATTCTTTGTAAAACGCTTTTTTGTTAATGTTTCCAGGCCTATTTTGCCCGTTTATCTGTTTATTATTATTGTTCCAATTGGGTCCCTTTAAAATAAAACTGAGAAAAGATATTAAATGACTAAGGCAAAAAATAAAAAAATGAACTACGTCTAAGTTAACGTAACAGTTCAAAATATAATTACATTTTTTTACTAATTTCCTAAACAAGTTAATTTATAATTTAGCAAAAATATACAATTTTATTAAGATCATAAATATTGTGCAAAATTATATATTATAATTATTCAGAAATCGTGAGATGCGGTCTGGTGTGATGTAGGTTTCAGAAAAACATTTTCTTTATCGTGTATGTTTCGAACTTTATTGAGATCATCTTCAGGGCTCAAAGCGTTTGTCTTCTGTGTAATTGTGCCATTAATGCGTGTCGTGTTGAGAGTCTAATCACCACACATTATATATTGAAATGTTTGATTTAGCGATTTAAATATATTGAAAAAGAGAGTAACGTTATCTCATTCTTTTACACTTAATTAAAAAATATTAACAATTATAAATATTACGTTCATTGTATTATGTTTTTAGAGTAAATTTTATAATAATTTATTTTAAAACTTCTTTAACATAAGTTGTATTCATTTCTTCTTATTATTATTATTCAGAAATCTTGAGATGCGGTCTGGTAGGTTTCAGAAAAACATTTTCTTTATCGTGCTATGTTTCGATCTTTATTGAGATCATCTTCAGGGCTCAAAGTGTTTGTCTGTGTAATTGTGCCATTCTTGCGTGTCGTGTTGAGAGTGCCCCGGCATTTCACGATTTCTGAATAATTATCGATTAACGGTCACTAATCACACATTATTATTATGGTTGGATCCCTTAAAATAAAATTGAAAAAAGACATTTCATCATTTAACCAAAAAAAAAAAAAAATAAATAAATAAATAAAAAATAATAATAATAAAAAATAAAAAAATGAACATCTAAAAATTGATAGTGCCCATCCTTATTTTGTGGAACTTCATAAAAAAAAGTAATGGGTAGGAAATGTCTTTTTCACCTTAGGTTTTGTTTATATATATATATATATATATTTTTTTTTTGTAGAAAAGACAATTTATTTCCTACCCATCAACATAAAATTAAACAGTTCCAGATATAATTATCAAAACAAGTTAATGTTTAATTTAACAAAAATATTGAGTTTTTTTTAAAAAATAAATATTTTGCAAAATTATTTACTGATATGTTTGATTTAGCAACATACATATATACAAGGAGATTGTAAAGTTAACTCATTCTTTTACATTTAATTAAATAAAAAATAAATATGGTACATAATAAATATTATGTTCATTGTATTATTTTTTATGGTAAATTTTATAATAGATATTTTAAAAGTTTATTTTTTTATCGTTTTTGTCTGTTTTATTTTTTTATTATTATGTCCCAATTGGTGTCCTTAAATACAAATGTAAAAGAATATTTTATTATAATGCCAAAAAAAACCACAAAACTATGTTATAAATTAAAAATTAGAGTTTTTGCTACATGCATCCCACATAATTGAAGCTTGTCATGCCTTGGCTTCTTACAGAGATGTGCAGGCATCCCACCGGATTTAAGAATGGTTCTCAAACACAGTAGCAAGTTTATAGTTCTCCTGTTACACTTTTTAGAGGACTTTTCTTTTACTTTATATAGATCTGTTTTGTTTTTCTGAGTGTGTGTATTTATTAGAGTGAGTGGTGAGCAGGTGTAGCAGTGTTAGGGTTGATGAAGGAATATTTATTAAAGTACTCTATCGATCCCAATTTAAATGAGCTTATTACTACAGTATATTGGTTGACAGAGGTATTCCCTCTATTTTGAGTACACCAGCAACTAACCAGAATGAGTGCAATGTGCATTATGTGAATGTATTTATTTGTGAAAATGTATTATCAATGTTAGTGAGTATTATGCTAGATTATATTTCGCATGCGTTGAAATGACTTTCTAAATCCCTGGAGCCTAACATGTTGGTTGGGAAGCGATGGTCTTCTGAGCATCTGGCTTAAGGGGAATACTAGCGATTCAACATGACAGGAGTAGGTGAATTCTGCTGATGTATAGATCCTAGGGAGTGACAATCCTTCTGGTCAAAAGTCCAATTATTGTTCTAATCTGTCATCGAAGAAAAGACAACCAACCAAAAAAAGGAAGAGACGTAGTAATTTAATTAGTTCTAATTATAAAAACGAGTTAATTTTTGTAACACATATAAGTTTATATTAAGCTCTTTATTTGAGTTAAAGAGGCTTTAGATTTGTTTTTTTAGATGTTTTAGTTTAAAAAAATTGCCTGGCTATGGCTAAAATTGAAACGTATATATTCAGTTTATGTCTTTTTCAAATATACACCTTTTTCAATAAGCATAAATTACAATGTTGGCAAAAATTTAAAGAAATGTTTTTAAAAATTCTATTTAATAAAAAATATGTTAAAGGTAATCCTATTCAATTGGTGCACCATGAAAACTCGGAAAATTACGTTTGAAACTCACTTTTCACTTTTTGTTGTTACTCTAGAGTTTGGCCAAGGCAGCACGTGTTGATATTTGATAAGAGATAACATATGGTAAAAATGATAAGCTTGTCGGCTAGACGTTCTTCTGGCAGAAGTACATATGGTTAAAACCAAAATTATGAGTTAAGGCAGCAATTTTCAAGTTTTCCTTTTAAAAAACCGACATTGAGAGTTGACCCAAATGTTGGGATGGCAATGTTTGTCGCTTTTGGCAGGAGAGTCAAAATCCCCCTGCAGCAGGATTTTCAATCCGGGTCCAAACGAATGCAGTGTTTCTGTACAAGGTATGCCAGTTGATTAAACAGCCCATCGAAACCCTGGACTCATGGTTTTTACATCTAGGTGCATAAGCCAGTCATATTACGATATACTTAAAGTACCCCAGACTTGTAGTTCTAAAGATGTCAGGGAGGCGTTCATCAATCTTTCAAAGAAGGTTTGTTTCTTTATAATCACTTCAATCAGTTTGATAAATGAATAAGATTCAGAGTAATTATCCTTTGATTCAAAAGCACAGAAATGCTAGAAAGAATTTTCTTTCATCAAGAGAGACCATGCAATGTTCAAATATCAAGAGAGTATTTTCAATCCTAAACTGACAAAATTCATATAAATAATGTAATTTTTGACAACCAAAACACTATTTTAAGTCTTATTCATCTCAGCATACACATAGACTTAGTAAAAAAAGGCTGCCTACCATCCTTAGTATTTGCCAAAATATCATACTTTCAATGTTAGAAGTATTGAACGCTTTTTCACTCTGGATCAAGGTATGGTCTTGAAGAAAAAAACGAATTCACTTGTTACTACCAAGCTTTTGACCTATTTTAACGGCATCATCAGGGCAAAACAATCTTAAATATGTCTACAGATTGACAGATCTCAAATTTCCTTGGAGACCGACTCAACCCTAACATTGCCAAGCTGTAGAGAATTTTTTTGAACTGTTTATGGATTTTTCAGACTTGTATAATAAGACTTAAAATGGCCAATATGACATAAATCTTTAGCGAGGTAGGCACAATGGCTGTGATCTGAGAGCTGTAATGCTAGAGCATGAATAATGGCTATGTTTCGTTGACTGGTTGATGCGCCGAACACGCCAGGGATTGATGGAACCACGGACAATCTCTCTTTGATTTTTCCTGACATCAGAAAGACTCGTTTGGTATAGAAATTTGAGGATGCACAGCTTTGTCAAACCTCTGTCAACATTCGCATCATACTTTTTTTTTCAACAGTGAGCTTTTCTTTTTGTTATTTTGTTAATGAAAGTTTTTTTATTTGTTAAAAAAAATGGGTTGAAGCACGGCTCTGCCGCATTTTTTTTCTTTCTCAATTTTTTAAATTCAAGTCCTTTTTTATAATTGTACTTAAAAGTCTTTATTTCTGTTCCTTTGCTACTATTCTTCAGACAGGGAAAGGTCATAGCACAGTATAGTGTGTCATAGAGCCAGTGACTTTTTTTAAGCATTCTGCAGAGCAATGCTTAGAAAAGTGGTTTTTCTCTCAAATTTATCCACAAGGCTGGAGTTAAATTCATAAATAGGTGCCAAAGGCTTGTCGGTGCACCAATTCACTAATTACAATGAACAGGTAAAGAGTTATATATTTCATTATTCGTTTATTTCATCTTCAATAAAATATCAACAATAATCTTTTTTTTCAGTCTTGAATGATAGAATTTTCATTTTTTTTAAATTACCTTTTGCGTTTTAGAACCATCCTGACAAACATCCCAATGATCCTTCAATGCATGAAAGATTCATACAGATAAATGAAGCTTACACCGTATTAATAAACCCAACATCGAGGAGGGCATATGATATGACTTTGAGCCATAGAAAGAAACTAGAGGCTCCTTACACTAGACCTAACTACCAGTATTATCAGTACAGTGCTTCTAACTACAATCAGTACCATCAAAATCAGCAAAATAAACGAAACCAGTATACTTATAACAGCAGCCAGAAAGCGAATTCATCGTATGCAGTTGTTTATTTTATATTATTGATAGTTTATTTATATTTTGTATAGATTAAAAATATATTATTTCTCAGGAATGCTTCAGATGATAGCTCAAGTTACTATTCTTACCAATGGGAAAGTGATGCGAGAACAAACACTGGTGAAAATAATACTTACAATGAAGTCAAAGGGGTTAAACGAATTTCAAATGCAATGTTTCTCTCGATTTTTTTGTTTATATCTTTCTTTACCTTTGGAATACAGATGATCGCCTTAAGGTAATCAAGTTTTACTATTAGAATATTACTACATACTATTAGAAAATTAAATAATCTGCCTTTGACATTGTGTTCTTTGTTTAAACAATTATTATTGTCATGCTTAGAACTTTTTTGTGTTTTTGTTTTCTGTTAAAGAAGTCATACAATTAAATCAAGAGAACAGATGTTAGAAAAGAGCCGTAGATACAGTATGATGCACGCAATGGCGAAGGAGAAAGTGAGATTATATGGGAGTAAACATCAAATCGAGATGCTAAAACGGTCATTGTCGTCAACCTTTGATGTTTCTGAATCTGATGAAGATCTGCTTTACGGAGTGGCCGCGCAAGAAGAAAGGACATGTTCTGAAAACACAAACCAACAGCAGGTGGCTCCAGTTCTCAACACTGTAGATGCTGAGAGCGACAGTCAAGTACTGCCTCCTCCCGAGGCAGTACCACAGCCAAAACCATGCCCTGAGAACACTTGTAAAAAATGTAAAAAGGCTAAGGTTAAATTTGAAAGTCAACCCCAGAGTATGTCATAATAAATTCTATCTACACATTTATAAAAATCCTTAAAAAAAAAAAAAAAATGTTTTGCCTTTCCTTGTAAATAAATTGTCATTAAATAGTTATACATAAACATTTTTATTTTTTAAACTATAAGATTGTTATTAAAGTTGATTGTGTTACTATTATATATTGTTTGCGTGATTTCAAAAATAATATAATACTCAAATAAAACAAAATTTTAATATGTGATCAAAAATATGATTTTGGTGTGTAATTGAACTTAGAACATTAATTCCCTTTAATCTTGTGATCATACTAGTCTCATTCAATTATTTTCATAATTATTATATAAAAAAATTATTATAGAATAAAAAAAAATTTATTTTTCACTGCGTCTTGTTCATAACGATAATGGTTCCTGAGGTAATTATAATTTCCACAGGCTTAACAAGAAAATATTTGTTTTTCAATTATGTTTTAAAAATTTAAAACATTGATTATAATATGAAAGTTGTGCTCATTTTGGAAAAACACCATGAACTGGAGTGCCTGCACAAAACAGTGGTTGTGGTCTGGTTACCTGGAAGCATAGGTCTGGAGGATGCTATGATATGGTAAAAAAAGGATACTAGGAAGCAGGATTTGCGCTCTCCAGGCACTGTAGCCTTCTGGCTTATTGTACCTTCCTAGTTCCTTAGTTCAGTGCAATAGACTCAATCCTTCTCCTTAGAAGTATCAGTTCATTGACTGTCGCTGCTGCAATTTGATTCCCTAAGTTAGGTTAAATCTCCTTTGAACTGTTGCATCGCATTTGAAGGTGATATGAGTGGCTGTTTCTTCCTCCTCATTACAAAATCTGCAAATGGGATCATCGTTGTATATACCCATGTTGTGTAGAGGTTTTCTCAGATGCCGGTTAGTAGTCCTACCACTCATCTGAGTTTGGCCCTCTCCAATTGCAACAATGCTTTTGCCAGTCTTGGTGAGGATTGTTTCACCATAAGTTTACTATGTCTAGCACTACTAGAGTTTATCCACTTCTTTTGTTTTGTTTGGATCCATTCTGCGATGGAGGATTCTATATTTGTTTTTGTTATCCCAAGTATAGGTTCAGGGCTTATGTATGGTCTTGCAGATCCTCACCTGGTCAGACTGTCTGCTTTGTCGTTACCCAAAATTCCCCTGTGCCCTGGCACCCAAGATATCATCAGGTTGTTGTGTTTCCCCAGGTTTTGAAGATTTTGGATACATTCACTGACTAATTTTGATGTAATTCTTTTACATGCCAATGCTTTAATGGCTGCTTGGCTATGTGATCTTATGAGGATTTTTTTGCCAGTGTAACCTCTTTTAAGATTTTGCAGGGCACAAGCGTTGATGGCATGTGTTTCTGCTTGAAAGACCGAAGTGTACTTCCCTAATGAGTTTGATTGCTCATGTTTTGGCTTGTACAGAAAAGGAGTTTTGGAGCCATCTGTAGGTCTGGAGAGTAATGTAAGGGCAGAAAAGGCAGCTAAGACTAGGACATTCCAACATCTGGACTTAACCCTCGCGATCAGGCCCTTGACGCTAAAAACTCAATAAAAACAAAAGAATATGACAGCATCGGTGGGCCAGATTTTTTTTTTTTCTTTTGATTAAAATAAAGAAGTTGTAAAACCCAATTTTACACTAATAAAAAGGCAAAAAAATCAAATCATACACATAAAAAAGAGACAATAAACATATTGAACAACCATCCAAAGCAGAAAAATAGAATTTAGAACTTTGGAATTTTTCGTTCTTATTAGGTTAAAGTTTTTTTGACTGTGTTTCATGTCGATATTTTGCCCAATTATTCTGCTTTGGTTGTTTTGTTTTATTTTTCTTTCTTTTTGTACTTTTTATTAAGTAAGTTGGTAAATAAATTTTGTCCAGGACTAAAAGGTGAATTACCAGAGTAGCCCCACTTCCCCTTTTTCACCAGCAATTGTTTCCCATTTCGCCTAAATTTCTGCATTTTGGTTTTATGTAAATACAGAAAAGGGTATACTGCTAGAAAACTGAGTAAAAAAAAGTTCATATGAAATTTTACAAGTTCCACTGAAAATCTTTCTATGTTGATGTTGCAAATTTAGTTTCTTTAACATTTTAAATTTAGCTGTTTTCAAAGGATTTATTTTTTTCCCAAAAATTAAATTGAAAGTTCTAGAAAGTAGAAGAGTGCCTTCTTAAAGAAAATGTTGCACTTTTAAATACTTTTTTTTTAACTTCCTCAAAAATAAATAGTTCAAGAGCTGAGTAGATTCATGAAAACTTGTTGCATTTAGCAGCACCTGATAAACTTTATCGTACAAGTAGTGAATCACACTGTACATTACATTCTAGACCATTTTTCTTAAATGCTCCATGTCAACAGACCATAATTTGTGATGTTCATAGATTCAAATTGAGGTTCCACTTATCACAATACTTTTCTAAAACTCTTATTAAAAGCTGCAGAGATGCGGTATGGGCCAGCAACACTATGTCGTAGACATTACTGTCCTTATTTTTCGCCTGTTAATTATTACTCCTCCACACAATTCGTCCTTGAATATTGAAAACAGTACAGGACCGATCAAGCAACCTTGTACATATCGCATGCAAACTCAGCCATCAGACCTTCTTTTTCCGAAATTCCAGCACCTGATTCCGCATAATAACTTTTGTGGATATTCATATTTTTGTCTTTATTTAAAAATATTTAAAAAACAATTCTTTATTAATTTGTTTTAAAATTTCCTTTTTTTACTTTTGTGGTTTTTTTTTACATTATTGGATGTCTTGGAATTTATACCAATCTGCAATCACAGAAAATTCCTTTTTTAAACCAATATCATGACAAAAGAATATTGGTATTTTACATTTGCGTTTTTTAATTTTTTTTCTTATTAACTCATAATAATGAAAGAGTTACAAAAACAATAAGGATAATAAGAAAAAAATGAAAATTATTAATATTTGTTTGTGATGATATTGTTTTATGAAAGAAATTTTTTGCAGTTTTTGATGATAGGTCCCGAAATCCAATAATACCGAACCACCAATAATGTAAAAAAATAATAGTAATAATAATACATAATAATAAAAAATAAATTAAAATCGATGTTGTCCTTGTGATGTCACAAATCTCTTATGGATAAATTGTGTGTTTTTTAACAAACACAATAATTCTATTGGATAATATTCAAAAAGAGAATAAACTTATTAAAATAATAGTTTTAGTTATTTTTGTTGAGAAAATAGCTAAAGATTGTCTCTTGATCGATCAAAAGATCAATCATTTTATTTCTTTGATTTTCTCTTTTGAGGTTGACGTTGTTACGAGGTTTAACAATTATTATTTCAACCGTGTAAATCCTACCGTTTCGAATTTCTTTCTTTTCCTCTGTCGATCCTTGTTTGACCAAAATTGGCCAACTGTCCACAAAATCGATTCGAAACTTAGTTCCGACAGCCTGCGCATGCTTTGTACAATCAGACAACCGATGGAAGAGAAAAAGCGGGAATGGAAAGAAAAGTACATTATGTGGCGGCTGGCTGTTTCATCTGTCGTGTGAGTATCAAACATGATTATTTATTTTGATGTGTAAGCCGTTACTATTTTCTCTGATGCCTCGTACTAGTTGGCTTAAATTTGTTTAATACAACTGCACCTAAATGGCAAGTTCATTGCAACTTAACATACAACTATGATCATCACCTTCAGAGCATGGAACAAGACTATACTTGATGATATGTATCAGGTTCGACTGATGACAGCTGGTCAAATTATCTGGTTTTGGAGAAAGATGTAGGTGCAATGAATGTCCCTAAATTGGAAATGTAACTTTTTCTCTACATCAAATGTTTTTCTAAATACTACACGAGAAATTATTATTTTTTAAATCTGCGAGATTATAGGTGCTGGTGTTTAATAAAATTGTACAAATTGTGGGGATTATGACAGTGATGAGTAGCCTGTGCTGAGACAACGCCTGAACCATTGCGGCCACCAACTTCCAACCTATTGACTATTTATAATAATTATCTTTACTTATTTTTATTATGTTACATGTACTCAATTTATTATTATTTAACATATTTTTACACTATCAACTATGATAAATACAGCCATAAACTCCTTACGACTAATTTGGGTTTTTGGAACAGTTATGCCCGGTTCACACGGAGGCGATCGGTATCGAGGAGACGGTTGTTCAGACGGGGGGGACTGACAGGCGACTCGTAGGGTTAGGGATAAAATCGACTTACTGCACTTCGACCTCCATAGATCTACTGTGCTCCCCTGTTTTTTATAACTCACTTGTCAGCTTTAGGTTATTAATCAGCCTCCATAGCTTTGCCAGCGACTGTAGGATCTTGCTTGCGGTTTTTTGGTCCTTGTTGCAAGAACCTGCATCTTCACAGAAACATAGAATGTGATCTGCTGTCTCCTATCTGCACAGTGGTTTTTTTTGTCTGTACTCTTATCCAGTGCATATGCTTTCTTAAGTGGCAATGTCCTGACAGGAGTCAACCAGAATTGTGATTCAGTTCTATGAATCTCTTCGCATGTCTCATACTGTGGTAGTGTTCCATTTTAAGATGTATCCTGGGGACCGCGGTAGCCGAGTGGTTAGCATGAGAGACTCTCATGCCGTGGTCGTGGGTTCGATTCCCACCATCGCCTCTGGCCCTTTTTTCACGAACCTCCCCCCCAATTTGAACACACATATAAGAATTCGTCACCATGGCTAATATGCATAGATCATAACACCAAAAAAAAAAAAAAAAAAAATTATCCTCTTTTGTGGCAGGATGCTAAGCCATAGTACGGTTCGGGACCCAGAGAGTCCATATTGGCCCCATCTTTGGCCAACATGTCAATCTTTTTGTTGCCTCTGTGCTCCGAGTGCCCAGGGACCCATGAGGTGACTGATATGAGATAGCGATTTTTAGTCGCTTGGGTGGTTCGATCACTTGATACTTTTTCTATATGAAGGTGACTGTCGAGACATTGCACAGCATGGTGTCATTCACACAGTTCATACTATCAGGTAGATTGCTCTGTCCGACTCTTATTTTCATACTATTCAAATTATAAATGGTTTATTGCCAATACCACTCTGTGGGTTTTGAACAGAAGAATTCTGAAACTCCGTGTTGAACCTCTTCCTGAGTTTTTTAAAAAAACAAGACAGAAACAAAACATGAATTTAGTTGCTGGTTAGGGATGGTGGAAAGGTATGGTTGAGATGGGAGGTTGGTGTCCGAGTGGATCAAGGTCATGATAGCTCAGGTGGTAGAGCAGCGGCGTATCAAGCCGAAGATCGTGGGTTCGAATCCCGCTCGTGACACTGACTTTTTTATCTCAACTAAAAACCTACAAATTAATTGAATACATTATTCTGAGAAAAATAAAATAAAAATTTAAATGATAATGTAGAAAAAAATAATGTAAAATGAACAGCCTGCTCTCGGTAAGTTTAACTTGTGCTTGAGAGCAGGAGTCATGAGCTTACAAATAGCTCTATACAGTACAAAATGAATANTGACTATAGACAGTTTATGCAATTTTTTAAATAATTATTTTATTAGTACATGACTTTTAAAAATTTCTCTTCTTTAATTATGTTAAAAAAAATTCAATTGATTATAAGAGGGAAAGGAATTTATATCAATTTTGTTTTGATATATGAATCCGTCTTATATGTATTATTATAATGCATGGGATTGTTTATTTTAGGAAGTTTATTTTAGTAGTGTAATTCACTGAATTAAAAGTTTTCCCTTGAAGATACTGAGCCATGGACTAGAACAGATAATAGTTGCAAAGTCTGGACTCTAAGCAGGGTGAAGGAGAAGCTCAATTCCGTCCAATTCTGTAATTTTTTGTTTTGTGCAAGAAGAACTGTGTGGTCAGGTGTTATCTTGTTGAAATAAAACCAGATTTCTATGTACTAATGATGGGTTACGCTGGGTCCAAACATACATTTTTTGTAACTGCTTACAATAAAGTTTTCTTCTAGAATGAACTTATAATGAATTATTCTCATATTCAAACACATTTTGGCATTGCACCATCTTCAGTGTGGAACTATGCTGGTCCACCATTGTTTGTATTTTTGTTTAATTCCTTTTTGTTGATTGTTGATTCAGTAAAGATTATAATATGTGTGGTGTTTAGTGACCGTCAATGATTATTTGGAGATGGCGAGGTGCGGTCTGGTGTGACGTAGGTTTTAGAAAAACATTTTATCATGCCAACATTTCAATCTTTATTGACATCATCTTCAGGGCCTGGGATTTATAAACATTGTTTAAATTTTACAAATACTTGTAAGATAATGCTAGAAAATTTTAGATAAAAAAAATGAATTTATACAATGCTAGAATTTTGATTGTATTATATGTATGGATTATATAAAGTTAAATAGTATACAGTTGTGAAATTATTGTTTTGCCTTCAGGTGAATTTATGTTAAAAAGCAAAATGGCTGAATTGTGGCGAGATAAGGAAATTCAGGTGCTCTTAATGCAACTAACTCTTCTTAACGAGACTTATCCATTACCACATGAACTTGAGCATATATTCAAACAGGTGCATTTTCTGGAAATCCATTTAAACTTGGGAATTGTTCATTAGACTTTTTCTTTTCCCCTATTTAGCCCGTTTTGACAAATGAATTGACATCTTCACACATCATCTACTACCTTTGTACAGTAATAAATAGAAACGAATTTAACAAACTGATAACTTGGCCATTGAAGGACAATTTAAGCAAGTCAAAGTTCAGGATTGGACTAAGAAAGTTCATAATTTTAATAAATAAGGTAAGTTGCTATTGCTGTTTTTTTCAGTGATGCCATATACCCTAATTTCATAGTAGAGAATTAAAATTTCATACTTGAAAATTCATTCTATATAAATGTTAATATTTTAGAGCCAAGGAGATGTCAAATTACCACTGATATTACAAACTGTACTCATGAAACCAAAAAGCTCGCAATACATATCATTTATATTTGAGCTGGCATCATGCACTTTTGAATATTATCTAATAAACAAGTTAGGTAATAATCGTAAACACAACTTGGTGTGTTCTTTTCTTTTAATAACTTCTTTTTGTTTTAGACATTTACAACATTCCAAAGCTTCCTCTAGATGACTACCCAGATGTTTTTTTGATGAAAATGCAGAGTAGTATTTACTCTTATGCCACTGAAAAAGTAAAAGAAAATAGTAAATTATGTGTATTAGAGTAGGTATTAGATTAATAACTAATTATTTCCCAGTTTCATATATTTAATACTTATTAATTTTATTATGCAATTGAATTTAGTAAGCTTAAATCTGAGAACCAACTTTTGGACGAAAACCTTGAGCGAGCTACTTCTGAATTGTTAACACTACTTGCAGATAGAATTCCTAATGTTAGTGAATCTAGTCTTAACACTGATGCATCATATGACGCATTGATGAGTAAGTTTTATCAAATTGTCAATCATTATCAGCCTTATCACCTTATAATTGTGTATTAGATTGGGAAAATGAGATTAAACAATTGAAACAAGAAAGGCTGAAATTACAAGACCAGTTAGAAGATGGACTAAGGAATTTAAACGATTTAAAAAGCTTCAACAGAAGAAACGTATTGTGCATAGATGGAATTGACCTTTGCGTTAAATTCAACAAAATCGTTTTACCAAGAGTGTGCCAGAATAAAAATGTCCGTATTCCTTTTATTGCGTCTATTTGAATTAAATTCATTCGATTATGTTTTATAGGTAAAACTTATCATAAACGGCAAAGTATCTCTGGAGGGCATCTTGGCCGCAGAAGAATTAATCCTCCAAATGATATGCCAGCTAATCTCTTTTTCTGATACTTCCAGTTTTTCAGATTTACAGCCAAAGTTAGAATCGGAGTTGGAAAATATAAAAGGCTTGACATCAAGTTTGGCAGAAATTTATGATTTGTTCAGAAGCAGGATCAACCAAATACAGAATAATTCGTTGAAATTGTTTCATGAAATTAGTAAGATGTTACAGATTAAAACATTATCTGTGTCTTGATTATTCCCAATGGGCCTAGTTTTGCCTATTCTCGTTGGTTTTATTTGTCGTCGTGCATATTTTTTTGGCATTGCACATTGTTCAGTGATTATTTTGTAAGTTTGTAAATAAAACAATAAAAAGAAAATAGCAAAACCCTGTTATAATCTAAAAAATTCTAAAAACATATAATGACCAAAACATGTACATGCAAACCAACTACTGAAGATGGCAAAAATGCCAAAAGGTATCTAAGGAAGAAAGCTAGTGCTCATAGGCAGAAGACTACTTGGGAATGATTTAATTACCTTCCAAACCTCACCAGGTTTGACTATATAATGCAATTATTTATTATTATTTCAGAAGAGAATAGTGATACGAGTAATCAGAGGCTTTCTTTATTGTGTAAAAGCTTCAATTTAGAATTGGAAAATGAAGGAGATGATTGCAGTCTTAATCTTTCATCCATCACAAATGGAGGTTGAACATTTTTCATAAATAATACACTTTGTGTTGTAATATTAATATGTTGTTGGATTTTTCAGGCATGTTGGAGTTTTTAAAAGAAACGAAGCAAAAATTGCTTGAAGACAAATCGCAAAGCGGCCAACTTTCAGATATTGAAAATTTATCATCGGTCCAGTCTGACAAAGTTGGGACGCATAGTAGCGAAGTGTCACAACATTCAGCCGTAGACTCATTTAATTGTAACGAGGTATCAAATAAAACAAGAAAGTGGAAACTGAGCAATTTGCAGAACAGCTGTACTTCTCCTCTCGCCAGGTCTGTTTTAGAGAAGCAAACCTGGGATTCTCCTTTATCATCGACAATTCAAGTAATATTTTTATTTTTATTTAATTGATATAAAACAGCGTATAAATTGTGTGCGATGTATTGTTAACTTTTTTCTAGCAACCTCTTCAATCTTCATCACCACTGTCATGTAAGTTTTTGACTAAGATTCAGAGTTTATATTTTTTTTGTTTTACATTAACAAGGGGGTGACCAGGTTTCTGTGACAAGGATTTGGACCAAACCAAAATTTTTAGTTACTTGTGGAGAGATTAGTGACCGTTAATTGATAGTTATTCAGATATCATGAGATGCGGTCAGGTGTGACGTAGGTTTCAGAAAAACATTTTCTTTATCGTGCTAACATTTCGATCTTTTATTGAGATCATCTTCAGGGCCTGGGATTTACAAACAATGTTTACATTTAAGAAATACATTTAGGATGTGGAAAAGTGAATTTATACAATGCAAAATATATATTATATTCAAACAAAGTATTTCTACTCACTCAAAGTGTTTGTCTTCTGTGTAATTGTGCCATCCTTCCGTGTCGTGTTGAGAGTGCCAGTGAGATTTTGCTGTGTTATGTTTATATATGTTTGGTTTTGAAGGGGTGGGGAAGGAAGTAGGGATAGAAAAGACATTTTTGTATAAGGCGTCGGCTTCTTTGAAGTGAAAAAAGCCGACAAAGGGGAACAATGTGTTGGTAATAGTTTGGCCAGATTATCCTTTCAGGATTATATGGAAAGGGGATAAATAGGAAAAGGAAAGCTAAATTGTTGGAAAATTAGACTATGTGAAAAGTATTTGATGTGTGGAATGTATTGTAATGATATATGTATGTTATATATATTATATTTGATTAATGATGTTGGCGTAGCTGCAACTGAGTTTACGTTTATCTGTTCTGTAATTGATGCTGTGTTTATCTCTGTTGATATAAACCATTTCTAAGAAATTACGTTTATATTTGTTGTGTTCTGTATGTAATATTTTTGGATTTTTGAAGTCAAAATTGTGTTGGTGTTCAAAGTGGTGGGTAGCGAGTGCTGTAGGATTTTGCTTGTGTGTTTTGCAATCGTAGATATGTTGCTTTACTCTCTTGTCCAGATATTGGGATGTAAGACCGATGTAAGTTGCCGGACAGTTTATCTTGTAGATTATGTCAGATTTATATGTTATTGGTGTGGGATCTTTAACTTTGGAAAAAAGTGTTTGGATTGTTTTATAATTTTTGAAAGCTATTTTGAAGTTATCGGACGAGAGAAATGTGTTTAATTTATGTGACAGGCCTTGAATAAATGGTATGGAAATGTATGCTTGTTTGTTTGTATTTGATATACTTAATGTAGTATTATTAGTAATAGTGGAATGTGTTAGTGTTGAGTTGTAGTTGTTGATTATTCCGTTAATTATGTGCTTAGGGTAGAGATTGTTATGGAGGATCTGTTTGTATATCTTTATGTTCTTGTGGTGAAATGGTTCATGGCTCAGGGTAATCATTCTGTGAAGTAACCCTTTGGCCGTGTTTATTATGGTATGAAGAGGATGGTGAGATTTAAAGTTGAGGTAGCGATCTGTTTCTTGGTTTTTGGTACCAATCTGTGATTAATGTGCCATCTGGTTGTTTTATTACAAGTCCCTCCAAAATCCAACGCATATAAACTTAAAACAGCAATATCGCACTGGCACTCTCAACACGACACGCAAGAATGGCACAATTACACAGAAGACAAACACTTTGAGTGAGTAGAAATACTTTGAATATAAAAGATATTTTGCATTGTAGCTAATCTAGCTGAATTTGCTTCTAAAAAATAAATAAATTAAAATTAAAATAATGTTAGGCGTGAAATGACCTTAACGTTAAAACGCCCTTAAAAATTAACAATAGTAATAATTACAATTAATTAAGGTTTTTAGTTGAGATAAAAAAGTCAATGGCACGAGCGGGATTCGAACCCACGATCTTCGGCTTGATATGCCGCTGCTCTACCACTTAAGCTATCGTGACCTCGATCCACTCGGAAAAATGGCAAATTCAAAAGGTGCGGTTGAGATGAGAAGTTGGTGTCCGAGTGGATCGAGGCCACGATAGCTGAAGTGTTAGAGTAGTGGCACATCAAGCCGAAGATCGTGGGTTCGAATCCCGCTCGTGCCATTGACTTTTTTATCTCAACTAAAAACCTTAATTAATGGTAATGTATTAATTGTTCAAACAGATCACGAAATTAGTGAAAATAATAATAATAACTATTATTTATTTCATTATTGATGAGTAAAGTTTTTGAAACACAAAAACAGCAAAAATTACTTGTTTTTTTTTAATTGTTGAACCAAATCATATTAACTATTAAATACTATAATGTTAAAACAATACATAAATATTGCCTTTTGAAAGAAAAAAGTAACATTATTTCCAATATTTTATCAAGAAAAACTTACTTTTCTCCAATGTGTAGTATTTCCTTTTCCTAGAAAAGTTTGGCACATTGAATTTGGAAACGACTAAAGCTACATTGAAACAAAATCGAAAGCAAAAATGTGTTTTGTGCTCTAAAGGTGGCAATATAACGAAAAAGCTTGGAAAACTAGAACGCTTCATGGCTTGTGTACATGTCAACCACATGGCTGGTTAGGCCTCTTTGACCTTCATGCTGAGCACTGAACATCTAAAAAATATTATTAATTGTGTTTTTACATTTTTGTTATCTACAGCGTTAAAAAAATCACTAAATAAACTTTACAAACAAACGTAACATTTACAGATAATGGTTATATACAGAGCGAATCATTAAAAAACATGATTGAAACTGATGAATCCTTTGAGAAAAGCATAAACAACTCATTTTGGGAAGAGTCGAACGACACTGAAGAATCAGATGGCAGCTTCGTGAAGTTTCCACCTGCTGTCCCACTGTCAGGTAGACTTTCTCTTACAAAGATAATAAACAAGTACCAAGACATAAAGAGAAGAATAATAATGAATGATTAAAAAGTTAAATATTAAAAAGGTTGTTGTATTGTATTGTTAAAAATAAAGGATTTAAAAAATTATGTATGTCAAGTATAGAAAATATTTATTCCTTTTGGAATCACAAAAGAGAAATAATGAAAAAGGAATCAAGGAAAGCTGGTGAGGAGGGTTGGGCTCTCAAACTCAGCTCAAAACTGCTCGAACTGTCGACCACAGTTAGTCCAGGAATGCCGTCTCAACTTTTATGTTCGAAATTTAAATCTCCTATTCCTTTCTTTCCATTGAGGCATCAATAGATCCAAACAGGCAGTGGCCTCTTCAGACTCCCTGATTCAGTTACACTATCAGTATTGTTGAAATTATTTATTATTTTTAAATAAATTTGTATTTAACTATAAACCTGTGTTATTTTATTCTTTTTGTGCTGTTGTTATTGTTGTCATATTTTTAACAGATGAAAAAGTTTCTCTTATTTTTTAGGAGGTTTTAATGAAAAATTAGTTTTGGTAACTTGTACCATTTTGAAGAATATTTTATTTCTTAAATCCATTATATTTCGTGGTCCGATTGACCAAAGAACTTCTTTCAATTAATTAATCTTTATGTACGGTATTGGTTGAAGTGAAAAGTCAGTGTCCCGAGCGGGATTCGAACCCACGACCTTCGGCTCAATATGCCTCTGTTCTAACCACTTGAGCTATCGTGACTTCAATCCACTCGGACACCACCTCCTACTTCAACCTACATTTCAAATTTTCCTTCTTTTTGCCATTTTTCAAAATTTTATTTCTTAAGTTATACTTATATACATTTTAATAATTTTTAACTATTGTTTCAAACAAAATTGAAAACAATGAATTGCCGAAGTGGCTAGTGGTTTTTGATTTGATATGAAACTAATTTTTCATTGGCCTTTTGGGGGCACGTGATAAGATAGCTCGTTCGAGCTTGTATGCTCCCCACATTCAGTGATGAGTTCCTCATCCTGATTTGTGTGACGTAGGTTTAGAAAAACATTTTCTTTATCGTGCCAATGTTTTGATCTTTCACCAATTTTCGTGGTCCGCTTGACCAATTAATATCTTTCAATTAATTAAGGTTTTTTAGTTGAGATAAAAAAAGTCAGTGTCACGAGCGGGATTCAAAGTTTTGATCTTTATTGAGATCATCTTCAGGTCATGGGATTTATAAACATTGTTTAAATTTTACAAATACATGTAGGATGTTAAATAAAAAGGCACGATAAAGAAAATGTTTTTCTAAAACCTAATAATCATTAACTAATGGTCACTAAACACCACATATTTATTAATAATGTTGCTGAAGTTCTCATAATGTTAATATCTTGCTCTGTGCTGATGACATCAACAAATTGTACGTGTAGTCACAAATGCTGAAGACAATACTTCAAATTGTCTTTAATAATTTTATTGAGTTATATTTTCTTTGGTGATTGATCAGCCTTCTGAGTTTAAATATATTTTTTTTTTTCCAAAAGGTAAATCGGGGATAATAAATAAGGTAGATCGGGCCTTTTTTCCTAGCCTCATCCCTGATCTACCTTTTGGAAAGAAAAAAATATATTTATTGAGTTATGTTCAAAAGATGACCTTTTTGTATTCACACATTAAGTCAAAGTGTTGCTTCCCATTTGTTGCATGCGAGGTTTTTTTTTCACAAGTGTTTTTCATTTTATTTTTCTATGTTGCATGCAAGTCAACTGGTTTATTTATTTATTTTTTAATTATTATTTTGAATCAATCAGCCCAATCAATTGGGCACTGACAAACTTTACTTAATAGATTAGTTGGGGAAAAGTCCACATCATTTCTACATTATCGTCAACTTCTTTATATATTATGTGCTCAACCAGAAGACAAATGACAGGGCTTTGAAGATATCTGAGTATATTCAATATTATTGCAAATTCACTATTTTCGTGGTCCGCTTGACCAATTATCATTCAATTAATTAAGATTGTAAGATGAGATAAAAAAGTCAGTGTCATGAGCGGGATTCGAACCCACGACCTTCAGCTTGATATGCCACTACTTTACCACTTGAACTATCATGACTTAGAGCACTAACTTCCCATCTCAACCACACCTTTTTGAGTTTTCCCTCCTTTTTGACATGTTTCACATGTGTAATCTATTTGATTCTCGGCAACAAGTGAAATGGCCACGGCGAGCTTTGGTGAGTTGTACATCATTTTAATTCACCGAAGGTCGTGGGTTTGAATCCCGCTCGTGACATTGACTTTTTTATCTCAACTTAAAACCTTAATTAATTGGTCAAGCGGACCACGAAAAATAGTGAATTTAATGAATTAAAATGAAGTATATTCATGAAAGTTCTACGTGACCATTTCACTTGTCGCTGAGAATCAAATAGATTACACGACATGGAAAAATAGCAAAAAGGAGGGAAAATTCAAAAGGTGGGTTTGAGATGGGAAGTTAGTGTCCGAGTGGATCAAAGTGATAGCTCAAGTGGTAGAGTAGCGGCGTATTTAGCCGAAGGTCATGGGTTCGAATCCCGCTCGTGTCACTGACTTTTATCTCAACTTGAAACTTTAATTAATTGAATTATTGCAAATATTTAAACTTAAAAGAATGAATTTTGTAAGTAGTAATAAAATACAGGAAAATCATTTACAGAAATTGAGTTTGATAAACTTATATTTGTTCAAACACAAACTATCACGACTTAGTATCACAAAACAATTTTTGAATTGTTCAGAAAAAAGAAATGTATACTTGGATTCTTTAAAATAAAATAATTTAAAAAAAAACAACAGTTTTTTTAAAACTAGGTATTCAGTTTTGATTTAATATTTACAATTAAAAACTTATTTAATACATATATAAAAAAGTCAATATCAATTAAATCTTGATTGAATAGTTCACATTCATAACATGCAAATTTTTTGAAAATGTATAAAGTCTTGTTTAAATGTGTACGTAATCTTGAAAAAGAAATGTCAAGATGTTTCAACGATAGTAACTACTGACGCATTTAGGGATGAAAAATCTATAGAAAACATTTCAGTTAACATGCATTACATATGTTTTCACACAAGCATGGGGTGGTTCAGGTACAAAGACTGGTTTTCCTTCTTCATCCAGATGGTCGGAATAGTTGAGGGTGTAAATGCAATGGAATCCTAGCCTTGAAACGGCCATGGCTGAATAGTGGCTGGTGCAGTCAACTTTGACTAACGGGTAACCTTGCTCTTTTGCCACTTTCCTTTAAAAATACATATAAGACGATTAATAAATAAGTTACGCTTATGTGTGGACATATAAAATACTTTGTCTGGTCGAAAAAGGCTTTAGCGATGCCCTGCCCCCTGCAGGCATCGTCCACTGACACGACCCTGATTTCCACGCAGCTGTCAATTTCGGGAAATTGGCCAAACACGTCGGAATCCTTACCGACTGTTGTCAGTAAATTGAGAATTTTTTTGAATTTTTGATTTGTGCAGTTTTGAAGATCGTCTTCTTTATCGTTTGATTTATCGTTCTCCTCTCTTCTCAAAACTCCATTTATGCAAACTCCTAGCATTTCGTTATCAGGAGATACCGCCATAAGAGAAACGCCTAAAAATCAATTTAAAATAAAAATTATGGTTCGGGACAAAAAGTTTTTTTAATATATCCATGTTAAAAACATTTATAAAAATTATATACTTTTGTTTACATATAAAAAATTTTTTTAATATAAAAAAATATTAAACTAAAAACATAACCCAAATGTATTAGGTGCATTCAGTATTCATTTAGCTCTTAATCATAAAGAAATATATAATCAATAAAAAAAAGCAAAGTGGCCAAAATAATCAAAGAATTTGATATTAGGTGCAATTTACATTGAGTAAGGAAATTTTTTAATTTAATATAATAATAGATAGGTAAAGGAATAAATAAAATAAAACAAATAAACAAAGTAAAATTATTATATATTAATAATAAAATAAAATTAAAAGAAAACAATAATTAAACCAGAGAAATAAATAAATGATGTACTAAATCGAGGAGAAATAGCACTAAGTTGGCTCACTACTTTTTAAATTACAAAAAAAAAAAAAATTGGAAGGTTAATTTGTTAAAATATTGTAATCTTTTAATTCTAGCAATAAATACAAAACAACGTGAATCAAACAATTCAATTACTCTGTACTGAAAACATTTGATGTGTTATGAAAGTTTAGAAAAAAATTAAATTTATCATCAATAATGGGTTAATCAGAGAATTATATGAAAACTATTAGAACATGACTATTAGAAAGTTAAAAATTCTGTTGTATGTTCTGTGTTAGCAAAATATCCTGTTTTATGTTTTGGCAAACTAAGAGAAAAGATATGTAGCTGAAAAGCTTATAAACATAAGAAATAAAAGTACAAATATCTGAAGAAAAACCATTTGTCACATTTTAATTGTAGTTTTTCTACAAGTTTTATGGACATGTGTTGACGTATAGCATATAAGTTGTTTTTAATTTTTTGTTTGTACATACCATCAGGGATGGAATCTAAACAATAAGTTTCCAGTTCGATGCATGTGGAACCAGGCTCGTCAAGGAGGCCGACACAGATGTTTAGGGGTTCGTCTTTGAAAAAGAATTTCCTCAAGAACTGGATCACCTGGCTCGAATCCCTGGTTGTTATGGGCTCGAGCCGGTAGCCCTTTCCTTCCATTCTCCCCTTTTTGGAAGAACGCGTCTCCTGGAAGAAAATGCCAACAATTATCACCAGCGAAATGTGCTTTATAAGGAAATATATAATTAAAATTAATTATGCTGAATATTTCTTAGATAAAAATGGTTTGAAGCATTGTGAAAAAAATTTGTTATATTGTTTATTTGGTTGGAAAAAAATGCATGGCACATAAAATCATTAAATCAGCAAGTCATTTAAAAACAAATTGGTGTTTAGTTCAAGAAAAACACCAACCCATGACAGAAACATATTTTTAAATGATATATAAAAATATCTTTCAGTCTGGGTTGTTTTTCTTGAACTAAACATCAAGTTGATTTTAAATTACTTTTGCTTTTTCTTCCAAATTAATGGAATTTACATAAATAAACTGTTTTCTTTATTTCAATTCAATTTATTGTTTGTACCAAAAAATGTCGCACATTAAAACAATAAAACATTAAAGTCAACTTTTTTTTAATATTACATATTGAAATTCATTTCGTTTAGCTAGCTATGCCAAGCATCACCAAGGCTCTATATTTCTTAATTATACTGTGAACCGTTTCTCCGGGGTACTACAAAAGTTTTATATAAAAATATTATTCTTTTTGTATTTACAAAAAATATCCAAAAAGTAAACCCTCCCTTTATAAAACGATAAAAGCTAAGACTCTGGTGGCCATCCAATCACAACATATTTTATATTGTTGCCCAAAGAAGGTATTCGCTTTTATATTTTTTGTATTGAGTAATGGCAAGTTTTTCAATTTCACAAGAAAGTAAGGAGTTTTGTTTATATATCAAATAAAATGGCAGACAAAATAAGAAGTTTAGATATATCAATGCATCCTGAATTGGAAATGAATTACTACTATTATCATAGAGCTTTGATGGACTATTATTTTGACTCGGGGCACCGTGAAAAAATTCTGATATATAAGGGTGCTAGAAACAAAAAGTTTGGGAACCACACGTTTGAGGCTTAAATATAAATTTAGCACTTAAAATATCTCGATTCTTAATATTTCTAATAATTATTATTTAATAGATTCATAATTGATAATCAGTGAATAAATAAAAGCACAGAAGCTGGTTAAACTAGACATTTATTACAGATTGTATTATATTGTATTATTCGATAATGTTTCTTTATTAGTATATGATTTAATTCATTGTAATGCCAGTAACATTAATTATTGTACTCACTCCACCTTAACTAGTTCTATAACTTAATATTTTATACTTAATATATAATTCACTATTTTTCATGGTCCGCTTGACCAATTAAATATCGTTCAATTAATTAAGTTTTTAGTTGAGGTAAAAAAGTCAGTGTGACTGAGTCACGATAGCTCAGTGGTAGAGTAGTATCAAGCCGAAGGTCGTGGGTTCGAATCCAGCTTGTGACATGGACTTTTTTTATCTCAACTAAAAACCTTAATTAATTGATTAATTTATAATATACTAAAACCTATGAATCAATATCTGACAATACTTTGTTGGAGTTATGAATTGTCATTAATTAAATGTACATCAAAGTTTTTAGTTTTGATTCAATTTTCTTTCGATCATAACTTTTTTCAGGTAATTTTTTGTAATGGAGAAACATCATCATATCGATTAACATGAATATTATTATATTATTGAATTGATTGAAGTTAAATGCAGTATATATTTATATTTAAATTTTATTTGTTAATTCAACAGCCACTTTTAGGTTTAGTATATGAATAAAATTTCAAATTTACCCAGAATTTAGTAAACAAGAATATAGTTTATCAAAGTCTATAGTTCAATTAAATTTTTAATTTCATTAAACTTGTTGAAAATATTTTAAAAATAAAGTTTAAATCGTGAGATGCGTTCTGGTGTGATGTAGGTTTCAGAAAAACATTTTCTTTATCGTGCCAACATTTCGATCTTTATTGAGATTATCTTCAGGGCTCAGTGTTTGTTTTCCATGTAGATGTGTCATTCTTGCATGTCGTGTTGAGAGTGCAGTTGGGCAATACACAGAAAACAAACACTTTGAGCCCTGAAGATGATCTCAATAAAGATCGAAATGTTGGCACGATAAAGAAAATGTTTTTCTGATACCTACATCACATCAGACAGAATCTCACGATTTCTGAATAATCATCGATTAACGGTCACCAATCACTACACACAATGTTTAAAGATTGGAGATACCGGACTGTTAAAACAATACAGTATTATCGAAGTAATTAGTCAAATTTTTATGCAACTTTTATCCTACAAAATTCTTTTCAAAATTTAGGTGCACAGTGATATCATTGTCTTTATTTACAATAATTATGCTAATTAATTAATGAATAAACAATAGAGTCGATAAAGTAGTTAGTAGTTGATAATTAAAGACACTGATGATTATTTTTTATGGGGGTTCACAACAGTATACACCCTGAGGACTTGGTGCTTTTGAAAAAACAGTCCATTTGTAAGTAGGTCGCCCTGTGTAAAAAAACTGCGATAAAATATTATTGAAACGTCGAAAAAATGTATATATGCATGTTGACGTATTTGGTTCAACAATAGTGTTTTACATGGATAATTTTTTAAATTACTTTTTGAATCTGCATATATAAATAGATTATTTGAAGAAAAGAAAGTTTATAACGTCTTGTTTTCAATTGGATGTAATTATACAATATAATTTTGTATGAGATAGTGTTTTTTTTTGTTTCATGGTCATATCAACCCCTTGGGGCTCGGGGTGTCGGTGTTTTTAACAAAAATCCGCCCAATTGCAAATATGCCGGGTTCGAATCCAGGGCCGCTGGGTTCGAACCCGGGACCTTTACTTTAGAGTGATGAGCGCCGCACATTGGGGCAAAGGCGGCAAAAAATCCATTTCCTAAAACTTAAATTTTGATAATTCAGTTTTCTTTTCTTACAGTATTTGAGCCAGAGAAGGCCGTAGTAACGATTTTACAGTTAAAAATTGATCAAAAACAAGTAATCCACTGCTGAAACCTGAATATTATAAATTATGCAAAATGTACAGCTAGTTTCTGAATATCCCACCGAGCGGTTAGTTGTAAAAACTCGGTCACCCTAATTTATTTTTATGTCAACATAATGACAAAAATCAGGTGTGTTAGTTGAGGGAAAACCAGCAATATTTGAGGAATATTTGGTTTTTTGGACGTTCAAAAAGAACTTAGTTGTTCTTTGTTTTGGCCTTTTTTTCGCTTTTATACACATCGATGTACTATCTCTGTGGTTTTCAGCTTCCTATTCTTGTCTATATGATTGCAGTGCTGTTTTTAATAGTGCTATTTAGCCTAAAATCTCTAAAATACAATAAATTTGGCCACTTTTTGTTTAGTTGAAGGATTTTGCCTTAACTGTTACTGTTTTTTTTTCTGTAAAGAAACCGAATCAGATATCAGAAATATCGTATCATGAAACGTTTTCTTTATTAGAAAGGTATATCTATAAAAAAGCAACTTAATGACTTTTTCATGGTTATATTCGTGTTTAGTTTACTATCAGATAGATCAGTAAATTGCCTATAAAGAACAGGTTTTCAGAATTTGTTCCTTACCTTCTTTACCCCGTGTTTAAACAGTCTATGAATAATTGTAGTTAAGTCCATCTCAGTCAATACGACGGATTATTTTTTGCAACGCGTAGCAGTTATTCCTCTAGCGTCCACAATTTCGGACGATTTGCTGGTCCACTCGATTCGAGACTAGTTTCAATGAATTCAGCGTATAGAAAAACGAGACCCGTGATTATTATTGGTGATATTTGTTCCATTTTTGGTTTTTGGATCACAGTTTTGGACGGTTTGATGTGGTCCAATCGATTCGAGAATAGTTTCATTGAATTCAGCATATAGAAAAACGAGACCCGTGATTATTATTGGTGATATTTGTTCCATTTTTGGTTTTTGGATCACAATTTTGGACGTTGTTGTTCCAATCGATTCGAGAATAGTTTCATTGAATTCATTGCACCACAAAACCTACAACAAACATACAAAATTTGGGGAACGTACCCTCAAATAGTTTAAGCGTTACTGAATTTTTTCCGCATTTTTTGCTAAACCACCGTCCACCGACGCCCCTTGTTTGATGTCGTCAAAACTGTATCGTCTCCGACCTAATGGTTCGCCTAGTCTCGCTAGTTTTTTCTCTAAAGAAACGTCAGTATTCAGTTTTAAACGTTTCAAAAACGAACATGGAAAAAAATAGCGGATCCAACACTGAAAGAAACGTTTTGGATGTCGGACAGATAAATCCACGGAGAATAGTCCCAAATTTTTGTTTGTTGTTTAGTAAATGATGTGAGGCGTCGGTGGCCGCAAAGGTCATCAATGTAAGGTAAACGGTCCTGGGTTCGAATCCAGCGGCCCTGCATTCGGACCCGACACCCCGAGGATTGATATAACTGCTTGCGAACCGCGAACCTTCGTGATAAAAATTAAATGAAAAAAATGTTGATTTTTTTAATAATTGCAATCCATAAAACCAGAATACGGGTTTATTGTAATGATTTAAATGATTCCTTTTTTTTCTCTCATGAGAGCAAATCTTGCGTGATCAATAATCGTTCAGTCAATCAATCCGCTGGACGACTCTTTTCCCTCTCCAAAGTTAGTAGATTAAGAGCATTTCTTTCAAGCAAAAAATACAGAGATTCCAATTAATCTCTATTATAAGAATTAATTAGTACTTCCACTCCGTGAGTTCCAAACCAATAAATTATACAATCCGATACGTAATGAGCGTCTCACTTGTTACCTAACCGCTTGTTATTGACATTGAACAATCAGCGGCCGTAACCAAGGGCAAAAGTGAATCACTTTGTTCTATTTTTCGTGAATGGCTCTCACGTGGGGTTGCCGACTGGTTTTAATGCTGTTTTTGAACAAGGACGTCGCATTCACGAAAAAAGTCCTTTCAGGACACGTCTGCAGCATAGTTAGAACTCTTGTTTTTGGAATGAATTTCCATTTAATTGCTTAATTAATTCCATTTAATTAAATTAAAAATCCC